GTGTTATTTTTCTTTGGGGAACACTGCCACTTTCTGCGATGAAGAATTTGTAATTGAGTGCACCATACAAGTTGTTCATAGCTACACTTGTTCCTCATTTAGCTACACCGTCACCCACATTTATAACTGCAATGCTAATGGTGTTGGTCTTTAGGAAGTGGTAAAACTTACACAATGCAACCATTGCCACTCAGAGCTGCAGAAGACCTTGTCAGATTATTGCATAAGCCAATCTACCGAAATCAAAGATTCAAATTGTGGCTTAGCTACTTCGAGATATATGGTGGAAAACTCTTCGATCTTCTTAGTGACAGAAAGTGAGTATTTCTATCAAGTTCTTATATCTTTGTTCTTATTTGACCTTTATTAGCAATTCACTTCGTGCATTAGGTTCAATGTACAGTATATCTATATGATGACCTTGTTGCATCACAATCTGTCTTTCATCGTTAAATTTTCCTTTTTTGGTGTGATTTTATTATATTTTATAGATACTCATTAAAAGATGACATTATGTTTGCATCAAGGTGTCATGATTTATTGAAGTGTTTTCTAATATCTAGTTGAACTTCTTTATTTCATCCTACTCAATTCTGTCTTTCTTTTGTTATATCTGGTTGAATTCGAGTGCAAATATAGCTGTGCCTATTGATATGCATTTAAAGATGTCATCTTGCTATATTGTGTACCAACCTGTTTGTCATGCTTTTCTGGTGCTGTTGTTGTGGTTTTGAGTGCCTTTGTTTGGTAATCTATGAATAGGAAACTTTGTATGAGGGAAGATGGACGGCAACAAGTTTGCATTGTGGGACTGCAAGAATTTGAGGTTTCTGATGTACAAATTGTCAAAGATTTCATTGAGAAGGGGAATGCTGCAAGGAGTACTGGATCAACTGGTGCTAATGAGGAGTCCTCTAGGTCACATGCTATTTTACAATTGGCTGTGAAGAAACACAGTGAGGTGAAAGAAAGCAGGCAAAACAACGATGGAAATGAGGCAAAAAGTGGGAAGGTTGTGGGGAAGATTTCTTTCATTGATCTTGCTGGGAGTGAAAGAGGTGCTGATACCACTGACAATGACCGTCAGACACGGTACGTTTATATGCATTTAGATTAAATTCTCTGGTTAATGTTTACTACTCTTCCTACATAACCATTTGCATGGTGCCTATTTATGCATCTCTACTGCAGAATTGAGGGAGCAGAAATTAATAAGAGTCTTTTGGCGCTGAAAGAGTGCATCCGTGCTCTTGACAATGACCAGATCCATATACCATTTCGTGGAAGCAAACTTACAGAAGTGCTTCGAGACTCCTTTGTTGGCAATTCAAAGACAGTTATGATCTCCTGTATATCTCCTAATGCTTCCTCATGTGAACACACTCTCAATACCTTGAGATACGCAGATCGGTATGTTTTCTCCCATAATGAGCTTCACAATATGGTATATTTTCATGAAGGTGCACCTCATTCTTTTTACACCTCACTGTATATATTAATATATGTTAACTGATAAGTTATTATGTTATAAACAGGGTTAAAAGTCTATCCAAAAGTGGGAACCCTAGAAAGGAGCAGACCCTCAATTCAGTATCACAGACTAATAAGGAAGTTTCTTCCACATCATCCCTTCTAGCGAGTGCTGGTGCAGAGGATGTTAATGATCGACGTCAGGAGGCGAAAACAATGGATGTGGGTGAAAGACTTGCAGAAAAGGAAACTTCTGTGTACAAGTCTGCTGCTGATGTTGACAAACACCCATCAAGTTTTTCTTCAAGTTACCTTGTAAATGGTCCAGAGGAAAAGAGCTCAACTTCTGCCTCGATGGACAGGGAGAGGTTTGAGGTGAAAAATTCTTATAGTGATCGTACCAGTCAAAAGATGAACTTTTATTCCCAAAATTTAGTTGACACGGATGAGAAAGTTCAAAAAGTCTCTCCTCCACGAAGGAAAGGGTCTAAGGAGGAGAAATCAGAAAGATATGCAACGAAAGGGGATGCCAATGGATCTGATTTCTCCTCCACAAGCTCCAAGCAGCAGAGCACTGGGAATCAGAAGACAATTACCACTGCCACCAGGCAATACCAAGAAGAATCCTCTCCTGGTGGAAATATCAATGCGATACTGGAGGTTTGTAAATATGCCAAAGTAATTATCAGTGTTCAGTTGAATGCAAAACTTGATTATCCTTCCTGTTTAATTTCTTTGCTGTTTTCTGGCAGGAGGAAGAAGCGCTAATTGCTGCTCATAGGAAAGAAATTGAGGACACAATGGAGATTGTTCGTGAGGTGAGTAATTTTATTTTTTCTTTACGTCAGCATTGTGATTTTAATCTCTCATTGCTTTTGCCTGTCACTTCTGGACTTATAACATATTTGCTAAGCTAAGAAATGATCTGTTATGACAACTTAGCGTAATGACAGGCTTGTTTGATGTTTGTTGTTCTCCCTTCTTGAGTATGTTGGCGTGTAAATTATGTTTTCTCAGAGTATTAATTAAAGTATTTTGTTTGTTTTGACCACTTGACCAACTTCCGTCTTTTTATGTGGTATGAAGAATATCAGGTTCTGATATAATTGTTGGCTCTGACTGACCATTCTTAAATCTCAAGTAGCAGCAGCAGGAAGATGGTTGGATTTTTTCTTTTTAAAATTTGGATCCTGTGCAGTCACAAAAGTGAATGCATAGAATGGAGAGGGCTAGAAAAGAAGAGTGATGACGTGTGAAAAGCACCAGTGTGACTCATACATTGTCACTCGTGTTATTTTCTGTCCAAGTGTATGATTGCATTTAATTTGGAAATGTTTCGCTTGCAAATATGTTATTGGTAATGCTAATATAATTGATATGGCTTTTGGTTTTTCAGGAAATGAAACTCTTGGCAGAAGTTGACCAGCCAGGAAGCCGTATTGACAACTATGTCACTCAATTGAGTATTATGCTTTCTCGCAAAGCAGCGAGTCTCGTAGGCCTTCAAGCTCGCCTCGCGAGATTCCAACATCGACTAAAAGAACAAGAGATACTCAGTAGAAAGAAAGTGTCCCGTTAAGTGTCTTCGCTTTCTCAATATTCAGTGACCATATACACCTGCTCGTTCCACTTTGTCTCCCTCCCTCCCTCCCTCCCTCCCTCTCTATATATATATATTTATGAATCGTTTGTTTGACATTCAAATTTAATGTACTTAAAATATATATTTGTCTCTTGTTTAATGTGTTGGGGGTCCTTAATGGGAACAACAAAAGAATCAATGGAATGTTGATGATTGGATGATTTGATACTGACACTACAATCTGTGAATGAAACTCATCTGAGCTAATGACAAAGGGCGACATGGACATACTTGGTCATCGCACTGATTCTGAAATCAGATTAATCTCCGAGTTTGATAATCATGTATAATGTATAAGGAGCAGATAGGAAGTGTCCCGTTAAGTGACTTAGCCTTTTCACATTCAGTGATGATCTGTGCGTGCTTGTTCTAATTATTCTCCCTTTTTGAGCGTGAAGAGGTTTTTGTCTATTGATATCCATGGATCTTATGTTTGACATTCAAATTCAATGTACTTATTTTATTATCCCAAAATAAAAAATTTACTTCAAATGTACTTGTTTAGTACTTTGGTGGTCTAACAACAATCAAACGAGGTGAAAGTAATGAAATATCAGAACGAAACTCGTTTGAACTGATGATGAGGGCGACGCGGGCATCTATTGAATGTGTTTGGGTTTACAGTGTCTAAACTTACGATTTTAAAATCATAATTTTAGTGGAAGCTTGTGATTATCTTTGTCACGCGGATTTTGGAATCATCTAAGATGAACACGTGTTATTTTTAAACCCTCAATTAATTTTTTTTTTTTAAAAAAATTACGACTTGATCTGAGCACCAGAGCGTTGATTCTAGAATCAAGTGAAGCCAAGCATCTGAAAGCAACACAACTCACTGTTAGGATTTCATTTGAAGGCAGGAATTTTAAAAGGACAACATGGTTTATTTCAAATTAAAATTGACAATGAAGTATATAATAAAATACACACCAACGTCACACGTGAATTCTATTGAATTATGAAATTACATGCTTGTATCTTCTTTTTTTTTTTTTAATCCCTAACGAATACGAGATATCGTTCTATCTACATTTTTTTATAAGTAACTAACATGTTCACACGCTTAATGATATAATTAACTAAAATCGCATCATTTAACAGCAAATTTATACCATTTTATTTTATTTTAGTTTTCACTGGCACCAATCATCAGTGCAAAACTGTAGAATATTAGTAAGCAAATCAGAGTATATAAACGCCAACAGAGTACCTAACGCAAGAGAGATTACAAAGCCAGATTAAACATCACATAATTTAACACCTCTGGATCAACCCCTTTAAAAAATGCCTCACCTAATGATTCACTCTTCATAGAATTTACAACCTACCTCATTCTGCACTATCAGCATGCCAAAATGAATGGCAGGACTCCAGAATGGCCATAGAGAGGGGAAGAGCTTTCATCCTGTACCGCCACTTTGATATGAATGACTTCATGAATCTTTTCCATACCAAAACAACATCTCAGAACAAAGAAATGGACTACTGCTAAATGGCAGAGCATTCCTCGGCTCAGTCAGCTTTCAACATCAATATCTCCTTAGCTGTCCTGCGCCGGAAGTAAGGCATGTGTTCCTACAAAGAATGGTAAAGCATTTAAGAACTTTCAAGCAATCAAAAACAGACCAGTTCAGGATATTTTTTGCCCACAGATATTCTTGCGAGTACTAAAAGATTTAATGCTTATGGAACCGAGGCGAATGGCTGCCAAAATGACTGACTAGAAAGGGCAAGTGTTTCATCACGGAAAATATTTAGAAAACAAAACATAACCTTCCTTGTAGAAATTCAATGCTTCATTTCCTTACCTGGCTGAAACAAAGCCCTAGGCCCCTGCTATAGAAGTCGGCATATTTGATCATAAACATCCCACAATCGAACCTGTTCAAAATTTCAAATAAAATCTTCCAATTAAAAATATATTTCACTCACAAACTGCCCCAAACTTGAAACGCTCAAAGCTGTAGCAATAGATATATTTGAGAGTTTGAAGGGGGAGTGAAGAATATGACTAGCAAAATGCCATTTATGAAACCATTATGAACAGAAGGGGAAAAATGATACCAATAAAAAGAAAATGTAGATTTTAAATAATATCCCTCCCATTCCATTTATAGGCTCCGAGTGATAGATTGTCCTCATCCCAACAGCATAAAACCACTAGGTAGTGCTAGGAAAGATGAAATGAGGTACTTAAAAACTTGGACACAACTGATGTTATGTCCCTTGTATACATTCCCTCCAAGACAATATCAAGCAAATACAATATATCTGTTCTTATCCAATGAGATCATTTGATGGTTGATAATCAGTTTTGCACATAACCAATTGGCATGAACGACTTTTCTAGAGCACTTCCAAGTTATTGAGCTGTGGCAACCAAGAACTCTGTTGCTTAAATAGTATTTGTCACTGATGATCATCGTGGTATTACCATGGAGAAAGCAAAATTAAAGCTTCATAAACTGAGCTCCCTGTTATTAATCGAGTCCAAATTATATCTGAATGACAAGCAAACAAGTATTGTGACAGCATGCATGTAGGCCGCTCCAAAAGCAAATGACATAAATAGCATGACAACATGCATGTGGCCCGCTCAGAAAGCAAATTCCTCTCCCCTTTTTATTCAAACCTCTCCCGCTCAGCAATTACTCCCATTTTCTCTATCTGTAATCTACAGTTCTATGTTTTGCTATAATTTCAATTTTAAGAATTTTTTTCCTTCTAGAAAATTTTTCTTTAGACTAAGAATAATTTAGTTAGAGGAACGTATTGCCCTTTGCTTCCTATAAAAGAGTGCTTTTAACTTTTTTTCCCATTTTATAAGGATATGCTTTTGAAAAATTACAAATTATTTCCTAATGCAGAATTCTTGCTCATTCTTCAAAGATTTAAGAGCATAAACATATGTATACCCATTTTCTTGCTTAGGCAGGTCTTCAACAAATTCTCTTTCCCACGAACTTATATCCACATCTGTTCCATTCTTGTCCTTCACTTCATCTACAAAATATCTAGCCTGGGAACATCGATAATAAACATTTAAACATTAGCAAAACGTTGCAGCAGCCAGATACAAATGAAAATATATCTTAATTTAACTTCCCTTTTAATTATTTCCGCACAGAAAAAGAGATAATAACTAGTGCTCTTAATGTGATAATGAACATGACAACAAACTAGGAATTTCAAAACTTCAAAATGTTTGTCTCTAGTATGATGAGGGAAAAATCATGCCAGTCATGGTGCCGCCTCTAGCATTTCAATCAGTTCAGAGCCCACAAGCAAGACGTGAAAATAAACAAGACCAATTGACACCATGTAAAGCAACGCGCAGTCTAGTGTAACATATGATTAAACCTTCAATTATTTAAGAATAAGGCTAAATTTGAAGATATGTAGAAATTGTAATTATTAGGGGTATATCAGTTTTTAAGAAATAAAATATGTCAATAATAATCTGTATAATTCAGCCATCTGCGTATTAAAATTAAATTTTCAGATTCAAACACAACATAAAAGCCTCTAAATTCCCTTTTGATTTACACAAAACCTTCAATTCAATGTGTTATAATTTACAAATTTTCTGTCTCCCTTATTCTTTTCTTTTCCATCATCAGGTTATAGCCTCATTCACTCTATCTATTCTATCATATTTGGTCTGTTCTGTTTCCTTTTCTGACAAGATTTAATCATCTAATATCCTAATCCGTCTGGTTATATTGCTCATGAGGGAATTGAGTCAGTATAAAATACATTTATTTTCTTTCACCCCAGCAGTCTAAAATAATTGCCTTCAGTCTTCACATATGAACCACAAAATCATAAACAAATCAAACCGATATCATGTCAGAGTTGAGCATGTTGCAAGAACTAGATTGACAAATCATAATGAAGTTCCGCAAGCAAGTTTGGAAATTGAACGGACCTTAGTACAAGACCAACTACAGAGACATTGATTGGCTAAAGCCTTATCTAACTCTGGAGACTTCTGAACAATGTTTCTAACGATTAAAAAGAGAAAAAGATTAAAAGAAAAGTGTCTTTAAAAAAAAAAATGAAGTGAAATTTTTTAGTGCATGTAGTTTAAACATGGCTTCCATCAAGAACCCTGATAAAAGAACATATCACACTAAATTTGATACAGACAAAGAAATTTACCAGCACTTTCAACACTTGGTTATCTATTCCTCTCAGTGAGTCGAGATACTGCAATTTCTTATCTTTCTTATTGATGATAGCCAAGCACCAATGAATCTCTTTATGAATTGGCACAAATATCTGTGAAGTTAAAAGATATGAAAAGTTGAAAACAATTTACTTGATTACAGTAAAAGGAAATTGATAGTCAGTAAATATACTTTATCACATTCAATTAGGCTATATCCCAACTTCCTTTGTGAGGTCCATCTTCTCACAGATCTGAAATCATAACCACTCCTTCCACCTATTAGCTGACCAATAACATCCAAAATAAAAGGCATCAGCGTCTGACCATAAGAGTAAATAATATAAATTATACATAAAACACCTTTTGTATGAATAATGCTTCTACTTATTCCCCTAGGACGAGGTATCAAGTGGCCCAAGACAAGAAGATTAATGTAAACCGAACATAAGAAAGCCCATAAAAAATAAAGAAACATTTGTTAATCAAACACGATAGGAGATAAAACAAATTTTGGATTATAGAGCACTTGCCCAACCTTCGGCTCAACCACATTAAAGAAAAGCTAAAATTTAAAAGCAAACATCAAATGTGGGTGCAATCACAACGCTATATTGATTATTAAGGTAAAACCGTTTTTCTTTGCCGACTACTAAGGTAAAATCAAATGTTGTGATAATAGAATTTAAAAGATTGACTTTTAAGGTTATTACAATGGATTTAACAACCAACTAAGACTTAAAGAGGCCATGTAAACTCTGTCCGTGTGTGTGTGTGTGTGTGTGTGAGCAATCAAGCAACTAACACTACAATAAATAAATTCTTTATTTAATACAAGAGTCAGTGAGTAAAACCTTCCTGAGGAATGGAACATAATCCTTTAGGCGGTGAATGGCTTCCTCCCAACGATATAGATCATCCTAGGGTGGAATCCATTTCTTCACACAAGCCTTAAAAATTACGTTAGTTATTATTTTCCAAGAAAATGTATTTAATTAAAAAAAAATGTTTTCCAAGACATATTTGTTAGATAATATTTTCCTTTAAACACGATGAACCTAGTAAAGACCTGATATCAGAAAAACTATAATTCAGAAATTTAAAAAAGCTCAATAGACATGCTTGTGTTTTATGTATGTTGAATAGTTGGGAAAGATGGTAAAGCAAGACACTAACCTTTTTGTAGAAAAAGGTATTGAAAAAATGGCATTTCAGAAACTTCTTCGGTTCTCTTTTTTCCCTTTCTTTTAGCAACTCTAGGTACAGATTGATCACCTGCAAAAGTAAGATAGAGGATCATTAAGCTTCAAGAAGCACCTGTCTCAAGCCATGAGCCATGAGCTCATAATATAATGGGATGGCAAATGAATACTCCAGGAAAAGTTAAACGATCAATATTTAACAAGCAAAGATCACCTCATCATTTAACCATGCACCAGGCTTGAGGCATCTGAGAATTTCTCCAGTTATCTCAATGTTCGAATTTTGATGAGCAACCAAGACTTCCCTCCTGTGAAAGCAAGCATTCAATGGGCAATATACACAGCTAGACCTATTTCATTCATAAATACGTAGACTAAGTATCAAACTTTACCAGTTTGCAGCAAAGGCCCCATCAACTTCTCTTTCTTCCTCTTGTGTGAGAGGGACAAAAGGCTCAAGTGGTAATTCCTGAAAGCCACAGCAGGGCATGAGCAACTTGAACTAACATTTAGACTGCTTTTCAGTAATTAACAATTAAGGCCTCGACAGCCATATATTGAAGATAGGCTACTAATCAACAAATAAGGCCTGACAGTCATATATTGAAGATAGGCAAGTACAAAGCGTTCACCTGTTTTGGAACCTTCTCGGGACGGAAAGATTCAATTGGTGACCTGCGCTTCTCGTTTAGTTGGATTTCAAACTCCAACAATTTTAATTTGTCTGTTCGACTGTTTGTCGCCTGGAGCAACTTTTTGTATGCAATAACATCATTAACACCATGCTCTGGGCTTAAATATAAGGACCTCAAAAGCTCATCCACCTTCAAATTACTATTAGTCAACTCTGAAACCACTGAAGAAGTTGACTGCTGCTGAATTCCACCATCTCCAACCTTAATTTCCGAATCCTGTATCTCAATCACAGGCCCAGCACTCCCTTGCCTCCTCTGGTCCGTTACCACTGAGCGCCCTACAAGCCCATCTTCTATAATCTCAACCTCTTCTATGCTTGAATCTTCGGAAACATCACCCTCTCGACTATCAGTATCCACTTCTACTACCTCCTTGCCCTTCACGTGCCGGAATGATCTTAGCGCGCTATCCTTTGCTTTTGCGTATGTCTTCAATATATTGCCCATCTTGCTGTCAGTTTCCCGAACCCCACTAGTCCTGTACTTCAAAGCTTTATTTAAACTACTTAGCGGGAATTTACGTAGACACGGACCGAGTACTGCTCTGGTGGATGGTGTCTTGGCTTCAGGGTAAAGAGAAATTCTTGAAACCACACTTTTCGAGGATATTGCGGAATGGGTGGGGTTCTGGGGCATAGACAAGGATTTGAGTCTTTTGGGTTTACGAGAATCTGAGGTGTCAGGGGATGAATACGCGTTATTCAAGCTCAGGCATTCTTCAGAGCGCTTACGATTGCTAGTTATGGCACCCATTGGACAACCAGGAATTGAAGAACTCTACAAATGCATAATCCATTCGAAAACAAGCATATCTAATGAGAACACGCCTCAGAATTTCACAAATTAGGGTTTTGGGGTGACGAGTTGGACGAGCTAGCAAAATCCTAAATGAAAACGCAATCTAATAAAACCTATGACTTTCAAGAAGCTGCGAAATCATCCAAATAAGGGGCCTTGAGAAGTCCGCACTGCTGCAGAGACTCGCGTCAGAGTCGCAAGAACACAGATCAGACAACAAAGGCAAAGAACTTGAAGGGGAAGCAACAGAAATTTTGCAGACAGGGAAATAGCAGTTTCAATTCCAAATACTAATCCAGATTTGAAATGATATGCCTTCCTTGGTGAATTTGATCTGTAGAGTAACCTGCGCCCTGCGGAATAGAAAGCTGTCCACGAAAATTTTCCGTTACCGGGAGGGTTTTAGCTGCATGTGGCTTTCGCGGCACCAACAAAACATTCCTTGAAATTTTGTTTTTGCTTTTTCTAATATTAACAAGGTGAACAAGAGAAGTCCAGAGTTAGAGAACGAAACAAGGAAACCTTTTGATCTTGCTTTAACCAAACAAAAAAATCTTAATATTTTTTATCAGCCGCAAAAAAAAAAATTATCAAACATAAATAGGAAGCTCTTCCAAATTCCAATGGTCAGTGGGTACCAACTCAAGATTCACATTCTGTGTTTTACATTATCGATTTACGTATTACTCGTATTAATTTTTTTTTCTCGCTGTCTTCGCTTTGCAATTTTGGGTGTCAGACAAATATTAAAAGTTCGACAATCATTAGTACTGTCTCATTTTCCATTTCATTATTCATTACTGCAATTGAAATATCTGACCATAGGTAAAAGATGTATGTATGAAAAAATACATTTTAAATATTATCTTTTCAATTTTTATTATAAGACACTTCAAAGTTCAAACTGACTCACTAAAATTAAGGAAAGGTGAGGTGGTTAAAATTTTGTTTTGAAAATGAAATGAAGTGATGATTTTACTTAGGGAAAATCCTACAAAAGAAGTCATAGTTAAATAGACAATTTTTTGTAATTTTATTATATTCTCTCTCATAATTAACAATTTTAAATAAGGTTCATATTAAAAAAAATATAATGAGTACTCCATCAATAATGAGGATCATTCACTCTTTTTAAAATGTGCCCCTGCCGCATAATAGTGACTAAAGGAAGTAGAACTAAACATCGTCTTAGCCTTTGTGAAGGAAGTAGAACAAAATATCATCTCAACCTTTGTGCCACGTCAACATAAATTATAAGATTCCGACAAGAATTCTAGCCAACAGCTTGGGAAAATTGACATAACCTAGTCGTTTTCCGACTTATCCAAAAAAAAAAAAATGACATAACCTAGCCAGTGAGAGGTTTTCTAAGTCAACTAACTTTTACTATTTTTCATCATCTTTTTAATTAAAATCACCAAATTGTTTGTTGGATTGAAACCATAAATTGTAATACTACCTCCAGTTCTAATTATAAGATCTCGTTTGTGATTTACAAATAAAATCTTATAATTAGCACAGGAAGCAATAGTTTTTAAAAACATATTTTGAAATAATTCAAAGCCAAATATAAAAATAACCCAAATATTTTAGAAGTTGCTTATATTTTAAGGATTTGTTTGGAATGACTTATAAGTAGTTTTTCAAACATGATTTACAGAATATGAGATAAATATATGAAAGTAGTTTTGTCTTTGCTTACTTAAAAATGCTTATAAGCACTCATGCAACGTTGATCCAAACAAACCCTAAGTGGTTCACAACTTGTGAACTTTTGTTAACTTAAACAACTTGAAACATTTGCAATATGCTCATAGTCCGAAATAGTATAATAGCATAATAGACTTCATATTTCCCATTAATGTATTAATATTGAATATAACAAACAAAAAGTTACAAAAGCTAGAATAAATCAATGTGGCTCAAAATAAAAATAAAAGAAATTATCCAAAAATATTGACTGATGCATTCACTCTAACGCGGGCACAAAGAATGGAACTTTCTATAACTACTTTTTGATGATTCCCAAAACTTCCTAAACTGGAGTTTTCTATCAACTAGCTGACTCTGCAGTTTGTACAACCAACATAGAAAGATAAAAAATTTTATCCTGAACTGAGCTGCCGATAACTTCTGACCTCCATGTTCCACAGCTCCAACTTTCACGTTTCAGACGCGTATGCCGTGGTTTGGATTTTTCAACATAGGCATTGCAAAGATTGCATCGCCGCCAGTTGAGCAGGGTACTGCTGTTTTATCACTCTGGCCGTTCTCTATAGGATTCAGGAGCACCAGTTATCTCAAAATCATTACCTGGGGCACAATCTAATTTTGCTGAAGTTGAGGTAAGAAACACATCAGAACCCAAATACAAAGCTACTCCTGACGTTAGATCTAATTAAAGAGTTGGTGTTGATTCTATATGTAAGATCTATTTTACAAGTTTATTAATTTTTTCTCAAATTAACTCTATTGATATTTCTCCAACAATAATTAAATAGGAGAGAGAGGAAAATTAAGAAAGATGCTTAGAGTGTTTTAGGGGAAAAAAAATCATATTAACTAATTTAACTAACATTCTTAATCTATTCAAATTAGTTAATTAAGTCTCATACTAAAGATCGGAGGAGTATTTTGTATCAGCCCGACGGACATTTTGATATTGTTCTACTAAAGAGCACAAGGTCTTCTCAACATCAGAAAGTGGTTGCCCAGCATAAAGCTGTAGCTGTCTCTTCTTTACAACAACTACTTTCTTGGCGTGTGATTTTACTGCTTGATGAAGTTCCTGCAAAAAATTTGAAGTTCCCTTTAGTACTTGGCAACGGCATGCACCAAACACTATTAACCACTCAACAGCTTGGAGGTTTCTACAATTGGACACTAAACTACCAGTTTCAGTATCAAATTCTGTGGTTCAAGTCTAGCAAGAAGACAATTTCATATATTAATATGCATAAAAATGTATATGCTGTGTATGATAGCATAGTTGAGATTTTTACTTGTATTGACATAGGAACGGCATCAGCACTAAAATCGCCCAAGTCCTCAAAAAATGATTCCAGAAGAAAACAGAAGTTGTTGGCATCAGCATGATCCTCAAAAGCAACAATATAGGAATAATAATTCTGGTCCTCTTCTTGAGAAGTCATCTTTAAGCTATACAGTCCGCTTGGTCCTTCTTTGTCTGAACCTCTTCGCATTACTATGACCTTTACAATAGCATAGCAGCTTAATGGTTAGAAGTATCATCGATGGATGCATTTAAAGACATGAATAATCTTTAATGGCATGCTAATTGCCTTGTTACGTGTAAAGGAATTCATGAAGCAAACCGCGGAGATGTCACTTAGATAGTCCAACCTTTAAGGTTGGGATAAAAATGGAGATGCGGGCTATTATATTCCCACTCCATGGGCGTTGTGATGCCTAGTGGGATTTCTATGGTCAAGCCTCTTCTCCCAATCCCCTATTAGATCCTCTCTGGTCTTACCTCCCCAAAAACCTGATGAAGTCCTACCCTGGGTAGCATATTACCATGATCCAAGTGGTGCTTAAGGGGCATGGTTCCTCCCCTTTACAAGCTGGTTTTCAAGATCAGGTTCTCCCCACTTCATTAGGTCTCCATTAATTAGGTATTAATCTATTAGAGGTAGTACGGACCTCCATGGAAAGGAATACCGGCCTAGTCTGCCTATCAGAAAGGTCTGGCCTATGACCCCGGAACCTGCCAGTTCATGTGAACACTCCAAACTCTAGAATTCCTACAACAGGAAACTAGTAGTACCTAAAAGGGAGTAGTTATTATCCATGCAAGCCAATTTTACGTTTGGGGTTCCCCGACATTCTTTAAATCCCCATCAAAAACCCCAATAGAGAGAGGGGAAAAATTATAAAGCAGAGTTTAAGAAAAGGTCCTGACCTGAGTACACTTGTATGGTGAGAGAATATGTAATATAGAAGCCTAAGATATTTTAGAATAATAATAACGTTGCCCCCGCACACATGCATAACAAATGCTAAAAAGACAAGTAACAGAGAAGTAGCACTACGGAGACAATCATGTCGCTCCCTACAGCTATGCTTCCGAAAATCAAGATTGCCAACAAAAAAATAAATAAATAAATTGTACATACAAGAACATAACGGAGATTCAGCCACCACATATCAGTCTCAGCGTTTGCCTGCTTAACTTTGACATTTTTAGCCGCAGAAACATTATCAGCTATTCCATGTTTCGGATTCCCATTCATACTCCGCCCATCACCCTTTTCAAAATTTGGGCTAGCATCCTGATTTTCTCCTACAATACCCCGTGTGTTCTGTGTCCTCAAATCTTTTGATTTCCTTGACCGTGTTACTTCAACTGAAGACCTCCCAAAACCATCCTCCGGGGTACCACCTAAGCACATAACAAAACCCAAATTGAGTTAAATTATGGCAAACCTATCCTACATTTCACTGGTTTCTTCTTATAACATGCAATATACTTACAACTACCCAAAACAAAGTATAAAATGTGGCTGGTATTCGTTACGTTTTTTTAAAACTGAACTGCAAATAATAGTAAATTTTATTCCTTAACTCCGATGGCTGATATATCTAACCCAAACTCAGGGAGAAGATAAAAATGTTGAGATTGATCAACTCTAGACAACAACGTAAGAACAGCTGACATTGAATCTAGTGAGTCAAATAGGGATATATGTCTATATAAACCGTTTAAAAGTCATGCATCTACGACTTAACAGATCATTACCATTGCTTCGTCTATCATTTTTACCTCGTGTTCCAGTTCCTTCATTTGGTCTCGCCATCAGTTCTTCCGAATTCTTCCCAGTATTCGGCAATGTATTGGCTTCTTCATCAGCCAATTTTCCTCCATTTAATGAAAGGCTAGAATCAGTTTCCCGTGCCTCAACATCTTGTTGATTTACGTGCTTGTCTTCATGTGATATTTGCACATGATCAGTAGCAGTGCTTCTATTTTCTTGCGCTTTAGCCTTGTCCTTACTTGATGAATCTCTAGTTTCTGCGTCAGATGCTTTGTGGTCTCTAGTCCCTGAAAAACCCTTGGGAGCCTTTCTTGGTTTTGTTGAAGGGCTTTTATATTTAAACTTTTTCTTGAACATTAATGTCCCATTTCCCTTGTTCACATTCTTACTGTCCTTAGCCACTCCACCAGTAGATTTTACAAAAGTTCCCAAATTCTTAATAACATTTAATAATGCCGATTTATCCATATCAGAATTCACCCTATCCTGCAACTTCAACAAGCGTGCACCAATCTCTTTCTCAATACCAAGTCTATGACTAGAAACAGCGCTTTCATCATCACTTTCAGGATCTCCAATTTTTTCTTCCTCCTTCTCTCCTTCAATTCTCCGAGCTTCCCTTGCCATTAGCTTAATTTCCTCAATTTTCTTATCCATCTCAAGTCGATCCTTCAAATAAATCACACCACTCCCACCAGTAACCCCCGTGGTTTTTCCACTCCCATCAAACAAAACGCTCCTCTTTTCTCTTACAACAACATTGGAATCCCCAACCTTCTGCTTCGAGTCATCATCAAGCATAATCAAAACGGAAAAAATTGTCTGTAACACAAAAGCCCCAAACAAAATGGCACCGTATTTCAGGATAGACTTAGCGGAAAGCTTGGCAGCAATACCATTGAATTCTCCCAAGGCTCCCGTCATCTCAGAGACCGGTAATTCTTCCATTTCACCACCTTCTCCAGCGGCAGCGGCAATACTTACCGAGGGGACTCCATCGGCGGGAACCTCAACACGACTGTCGTCCACCTCTGTGGTATGCGGAGCTGACAGAGGAGATTCTTGAGGTGGAAGAGGAGTGATGGGTGGGTGGGATTTAGTGAGAGTTTTCAGAATTTTTGGTCTCAAATGGTTTTTCCTCCTAAGCCTGATTCTTGGTGGTTTTGAAGTAGGAATAGAAGAAACTAATAGCAGAGGATAGGTTCGTCTGCTAGTAGGGTTATTCGAAGGTAAGAGGAGGGAGAAGACGGTGCAACGCGCACGCGCCATTGGTGGCGAAAGATGGAGCTGTTTCCGGGTTCAAAATTTCAACTTGAAGCACCTCACGCCATGACTGAGCCGAATAATCCTCCGTCAAGCAAAGTAGGAACTGCAAGTTGAACTCCAAAAAACATGTGCAGGAAAAAAAAAAAAAAAAAAGAGGCTGATGACGTGTTCTTCTTTTTCCGTTTTTCATTTTTTTGCCCCGACACATACTGATTTGGGAGGGCTCCTAGGTAATGCGGATCGAGTATTTTCGGCCCAATCACCCAACATCACGATCCAACAAAATAAGCCCAAATATCATTGGCATCGTTATTTGGCAAAAAAAAAAATCATTGGCATCGTTATAAATTCACCAAAACAAAAAGTGAATATAGTTACAATTAAGGCGTCCAATAACTAACAGGGATTAGGTCTAGTGAAAGGGGCTAGTCCTTTACAACGTGGTGAACCAATGTTTGAATCTCCGTTAAGAGAGGTGCTCACATTTACTACCTGACAGTACCTCGAAATGATTGCCTCCAATAAGAGAATACCTATGCTTTAACAAAAAAAAAAAATGTTGAATAATATTGTTGGAACCACGTTTAGTTTTCAACAATACCTTAAATAAAAAAATTATAAGATAGATGTTCCTAGTTAAAAAATAATGAAATGATATAAAATATTGCACCAAAAAGATATAAAATGTGTAATAAGTCATATATAATATTTTTGGAACCAAGAATATCCTGCACCAGCCATAAATATTAACATCCTCCTTGGTAAGGAAAATGAAAGGTAAATCCTGCCTTCCTCTTTTTTTTGGGCCAACCTAAATCTTGCCTTCCTACATTTATGTGATGCATAAAAAATTGAAAATTAATTTTTAATTACTGGGAAATTTCTCAATTAGTTTTGATTTGAAGTTAGATAATACTACCTCCGGTCCTTAATATAAGATCCTATTTGCCTTTTATTTTGGTCTTAAATATAAGACCCCAATTCACTTTGTCTCTCATATTTATACATTTTTTTCTAGAATAGCCCTCCTAACAATGATAGTTCTAGTCAATACATTTGATTAGTAAGGATATTTTAGGAAAGACAACACCTATTCAGGACAAATAACTAACTCAACTTACTTCCTTAATCTGCTCAAACTAGTCAACTAGCTCTTATAATTAGGACCGGAGGTAGTAGCTTTCAACGCCCCCTATAAGTTCTGTGTCAAAGGTCAAACCAAGGTATATAGTTTTCATGGAAAATTAGCATGAGTAATTCGTTATGCGTAAATATTTTTCAATTTACGTGTAATTAAAGATGAGTTGGTTGAAAAAGAGTTATACGGATTAATTTTTTAAAAAATATTATAGCCAAAGAAAAATAGAGATTGGAAAAAATGGTGAGGTTGAGTCCTTTTATCCGAACGACGCCTTTCCCTCGCTGAACGGAAGATGGTGTAGCTTGCCTCTGCGCAAGCCAGTGGAGGCCAATCCATCATGTCTGTTTTCAAGTCCTTCACTTCAAACTCCACCGCTCTCAAGTCGAGGGAAGCCACCATGGCCATCTTTATGAAATCTTCAGCTCACAGGGTACATTCCTTTATGTCTATTCTGAACTCAATCAGCCCTTCTTTTGTGATTAAGAACTACTGAGAAAAAAATGGCCAAGTTGCGTAACCGCACTGAAGGGATAAGGTTTGAGTTAAATTCGAGGTTTGTGTGTTGAAGAAATTCCTCCTATCCTCAGTTTGTTTCTTGGGAGTAAAGCGGAGCATTGTGTTTTTGAGCCATGCTATTGCACTCTATTGAGATTACGGTCAAACTTGAGCTCGTTTATATATTCATTTAGCATTCGTTTGACAAAACCTTTTCTTAATGTAAAAAGTTTTGTTATTTTGGGAGGTAAAGGGAATTTATGCTCTGGTGTGATTGTGTCTGATCATGCGCTGTTGCTCCAACACAATTTTGCCGTTTTGTTGCTTGATCACGCACTGGGAGTGTTGAATGGGCTTTGTCGGTAGATTTTCAACGTGGAGGTTGAAATGGTCATTGCTTTTCCTGGTTACAAGTGTTATATATGTGACCATATACTTTGATTCATTACTCCAAGTTGACCACCGAAATTGGACGTTTGATTTTTTTTCAGCTCTAGCCTTGGGATATGGTCAATCTTTTTAAATTGTGATTTTGGGTTCTCTGGTTGCACCATGTCAGAAGAAATATGAAAGTCTGGTAGTTAACGACATATTCATCGTTTCATGCTCGTCTGCTTTTTCTTTCCTTCGTCTTCTGTTCTTATAGCTATGTAAAATAGGTACCGCTTATAAATTTTACTGACAAACCAAATGTCTTGGATGTCTGGGCTCACATGGCTTTCTAGATTTTGTTATTACACTTTATATCTCATGGTTTCACTTTGCGGGATTTAGCGCTCTGTCTCTTGCTTCTTATCATCCCAACTGAAAAGAAAACAGTACTATTTTACTCATGACCGATTTTCTGTTTAATATGTGCCTAGGTTTTCTCCCGAACATCCTATGCAATCTCCAGGAAAACCAATTCTATTGGCTTGTTGTATTCAAACGGAATCTCATCAGTTAAAGTAACTTCTTTCCCAAACATGTCAAACTACTGTACTCATTCAGCAGACCCAGTATGTTCTTCAAAGCGAAGAGCTCGGGGACCTGTTATGGCAGGAAAGAAAGCTGCTGAAGGTAGTGTTTTCTATTTCTGAATTTCATAGTACTATTTATGTTATCTGTTATTTTTTATTTTGCTTTTTTGGTTTTATGGATGATTGGGTGCCTGCCATGTTAGCTAAAGAATTAAAGCATGTGGCTCTATGCTTAGTTACAATACTTGTGTAAATTTCAGGGGCTAAGCAAGAAGACGGTAAATACAAGCACACTGTTGATCTTCCAAAGACAGCATTCGGTATGAGGGCAAATTCTTCAATTAGGGAGCCGGAAATTCAGAAAATATGGGAGGATAATCAAGTCTTTAAAAGAGCTGTTGACAAAAATAATGGGGTGGGTTTTAGAATTTCCCTTAGCTACAGTTATATTTATACAACTTTATTAACCTACTTCAAACAATTTGTTCAGGAGAGTTTCATTCTTCATGATGGCCCTCCATATGCCAATGGTGACCTCCATATTGGCCATGCGTTGAACAAAATTTTGAAGGATATTATAAATCGTTACAAGGTATTTTCCCCTTCCTTTGTAGTTAGATTTCCTGCTTATTTGTAAAATTTAATCTGAATCATATATATTTTATAGTCTATCAAACCCACGAATGCTTTAGCAATATGTGTCACTTGCACTTACATGCAAGCATTAATCGTCCTTCAAGACTTACATTTCCTTTTTACTTGCAGATTCTCCAGAATTATAAAGTTCATTTTGTGCCTGGATGGGATTGTCATGGCCTGCCTATTGAATTAAAAGGCAAGTTTTACTTTTTTTTTCCCCTTGGTACTGCCATGTTTGCTGCTGTGTTCAAGAATAGTATGATTGTTTTGAGTTATTACAGTTTTGCAGTCACTGGATAAGGAGGCTAGAAGTAACCTCACACCATTGAAGTTGAGAGCTAAGGCTGCTAAATTTGCAAAGGACACTGTTAAAAATCAGATGTCATCTTTTAAGGTGCAATTAGTGTTGTGATTCAAATGTGTCAATTGCCAATAGATTGCTGTGATTCATAACTTACAACCATATAATTGAAACATCTCACCAATTTTTGCTTTTAATTGGGAAATTTTGGCATCTTAAGTGTTTTATTAAATGTTTGCAGCGCTATGGAGTTTGGGCAGACTGGAATAGTCCTTATCTTACTCTAGATCCAGAATATGAAGCTGCCCAGGTAGCTGGTACACCCTGTCTCATCCACCTTAGAAATGCTTAAATTTAAAAATAAAAATAAGCTCTTGGGACACCTCATTTATAAAGTAGAATTTTTATGAACATTAACGTAGAATAACTCAGGGAATAACTATGCTTTCTGATCTATGATTTTTAACTTTAATGAAGTGATTTTACCATTAAGCAAGAGCCAGCCAAATAATTACTGCAGATAGCCATATTGTCAGACTATTGATCTTTAGTTATGAAATTTTTCTTGGATGCTCGATTTCATGATTCATGCCCTATGATATGCTAGATCGAAGTATTTGGCCAAATGGCTTTGAAAGGCTATATCTACAGAGGCAGAAAACCCGTTCACTGGAGCCCATCATCAAGGACAGCACTTGCTGAGGCTGAGTTGGAGGTTAATTAACCTTTTATGCTTTTTTATTTTTTTAAATATTTTTAATGGATTATAAAGGCCAATGATGTCATGTTGCACAGCATTGGATTTGCTTATCCCTTATCATGTAAAACATGTCTGTTTGAGTTTCTACTCTCCATGTCTCTATAGGCGATGAGTGCATTTTTCTTCAAAAGTTTGATTTGGTGGAGCTCAGAGTATTTACATTGCTACTTATTTGATTTATATGTAGTATCCCGAAGGTCATGTTTCAAGAAGTATATATGCCATATTCAGATTAGCGAATGCTCCTCTCACAGGAGGTGCTCTACTGCAAGAATTTCCAAATTTGTACTTGGCCATATGGACCACAACTCCCTGGACTGTTCCTGCCAATGGCGGTTGGTTTCTTTGCATATGCCTTGCTGTTGTCTGACTCAGGGATATCTTTAATATTACTTCTGCTTGACATAATGGTTTAATTTCTACATCATATACTTGTATTTATGCATAGTTCTCAGCAATTAGCATGTATCTTGACTACCAGATCAGTAGGCAATGAATAATTTATTATGCTTTACAACACATTTAATATGATGTTTTACCTTACAACTTGAATTCATTAAAGCGATCAGACTCTTTTCTTTCATATATGTTTTCAGTTTATATCCTTTGTATCACATCATTCTTATAGCTGAGAGCCTTGAGACTTCTCCTAAGTAGCTTTGCACACCTCTGTTCTTCAAAATCGTTTCTGCAGCTGTTGATGATAGTGACTTTAGGCTAGTTAATTATGTTGCTAAGATATTTGCTTAATCAGTGCCCATAACGCCAACTACTTACTACCTTTTCATTCTGTAGTCATTTTATATGTTCAAGTATGCGTGTCACTCACTCTTCTCTTTGTGGTTACTTCATTTTATTCTATATTCAGCTGTTGCGGTAAATCCCACACTTGAATATGCTGTTGTTGAAGTGGAACCATTACCTGAAGAAGTCTCACTTGGTGGAGGAGCCAAGAAAAGAAGGCTTGGAAATGTGTTAAAGGAGGAGGAGAAACCTTTCCTTATTGTAGCATCAGATCTTGTGCCAAAGTTGGAGGCAAAATGGGGTGTAAAGCTTGCTGTTAGGAGAAGACTCTTGGGTTCAGACCTGGAAAATGGCAGGTTGTTGAACATTCAAATTTGAAGAAATTATTTAATATTTGTATATTCTTTTCATTGTTGCTGCCATTACTTTCTGTAATTTGTGTTTAAACTCTTACCTTTATGATAAATCTTATACTCAGGACGTTACTCATTATTGTCTCCTCAGGTATAACCATCCAATAGATAATAAGGAATGTCCAGTTGTGATTGGAGGAGATTATATTACAACAGAAACTGGAACAGGACTGGTCCATACGGCTCCAGGGCATGGTCAGGAAGACTATGTGACTGGCCAGAAGTATGGATTACCAATATTTTCTCCAGTAGATGATGAAGGAAAGTTCACTGAAGAAGCTGGGCAATTTAGTGGACTTGATGTTCTTGGGGAAGGTAACGCTGCTATTGTGAAATACTTGGATGAACATCTGTCACTTGTCATGGAAGAATCATATGGTCAGTTCTCTTTCTTTATTTTCTCTTTCTGGGGTCTTATCGGATTCCTTCCAGGATTTTTTGTCTTGAAAATCTCATACTACTCTACCAATAAATATAGACTGTATTGTAATTTGATGTTTTCAATGTTTTCTGATGCAGAGCACAAGTATCCCTATGACTGGAGAACAAAGAAACCAACCATATTTAGAGCAACAGAGCAATGGTTTGCATCAGTTGAGGGATTTCGCCATGATGCCATGAGTGCTATTGGCCATGTAAAATGGTTTCCTCCTCAGGTAATGAATTTTAGACTTCCTTGTGCAGTACTTTTCTGTCTATTTGTAAGTCATTCTCTCACAAATTTGTAACTTATATTCGGTTCTAGCTTACACAGATGTGTGTATTATTGCTTAGGCAGAAAACAGAATCTCAGCAATGACTTCCGGCCGTAGTGACTGGTGTATATCACGACAAAGGACATGGGGAGTTCCCATTCCAGTTTTTTATCATTTGCAGTCTAGAGAACCCCTTATGAATGAAGAAACTATTGAGCATATAAGATGTAAGGGCCCCAGAACATAACATATTATTGTATTCTCCTTGCCCAAGAGCATGTGCCATCTCCATTGTTACTAAACTACAAAAATTTACCAATAAAGTTTATATACTTGTGGATATCATGTTGCTTAATTCCCGATGCTCTTTTAAACCATTTGTTAGTCCTTTTTAACTGAACAACATAGCATTAATTTATTTTACGTTTTTGTTTTTGTGATCTGGACAGCTATTGTAGCCCAGAAGGGCAGTGATGCATGGTGGTATATGACAGTAGAAGATCTTCTTCCAGCTAAGTACCGTGATAAAGCTGCAGAATATGAAAAGGGAACTGACACAATGGATGTGTGGTTTGATTCAGGTATAGAAATGTTTTGTTTCCAGATAACTTTACACTAACTAGAGTGGGTCCCATGCATTCATAGAGCTTGAGATAAGCCCCATTGGTCATGGTTTGTGAGCAGTGTAGCTTCCTAAAACTTTTATAAATATATTGACTCGTATTGATTTCCTCAACCCCACACCCCAGTTTCTTGTTATGGCTTAGGAACGGCTCGATAATAATTTATGACCTGTATAGATGAGTGATAACGTTGCACCTATTTCTTACAACTGAGATATTATTTAGATTTATTCTCATATCATTAATTTTTAGGACACAATGGCCTCACCTAGGACCTTCTACACCTACTTTAGGCTGAACTATTATCATAATTTTCTTTCTCATGAATTGGGTTTTTCTTAGCTGTTTGCATTTGACCCCAGGTTCCTCCTGGGCTGCGGTCCTGGGAAAAAGAAGTGGCTTAAGTCTTCCAGCAGACATATATCTTGAAGGAACAGATCAGCATAGGGGCTGGTTTCAGAGTTCATTGCTGACAAGTGTAGCTACAAGAGGTATTGTGTTCTGAGATATCTTAAACTGCAGGAAGTCTTGTAAGCTAGGAAAATAATCCCCCAGGTAAGACGAATTAAGATTTTAGGAAAGTATTGTAGGTTGAAGAAATAATTATTTGTGGCATACTCGAAGTAAATGGTCTATTTGCTCTTGTGCTTATAGTATTCATATAGATAAAAAGGTTAAAGCTTAAGACTATAATTGTGGCTTTGAATAATAATTTTTGTTTTGTTCTCTTCTTTTTTCCTCCAACTTTTTCTGCCCCATTTTGTCCTGAGCTCTAACCCAACCTTTTCGCTTTCAAATTTGTTTCTATGAATGGTTCAGTTTTCAAAATAATACACTTTCTCAGTCATACTAAACAACGGTGAGGATTCATAGCACTAGCGCATGCATAGCCATTTGTTTGCTGAAGTATATTTTCCTCCATATCATAAGTTGACGAGGATAATGCATGTGGATACACAAATATACATGTGCTCTTACGGATGGTCAACCACTGCCCCAATACCCATATCTTCATGTATTCCCCCGGGGGGGGGGGGGGACGAAGATGCCATGTAATTCTGTCATTGGTGTTTAATACAGGGAAGGCTCCATATTCAAGTGTTGTGACACATGGATTTGTATTGGATGAGAAGGGTTTAAAGATGAGCAAGTCTTTGGGTAATGTTGTGGATCCACGAACTGTTATTGAAGGAGGCAAAAATCAGAAGGTCAGTTCTATATTTTAAAATATATATATATATATATATATTTCAGCGTTGGAACTGTATACATGACTTACTATTCATCAAAAGCCCTGGACTAATGGACTCTTTTTTCCTATTTTAACTTAGGAAACACCTGCCTATGGAGCTGATGTCCTCCGACTTTGGGTTTCTAGTGTAGATTATACTGGTGACGTGATGATTGGCCCTCAGATTCTCCGTCAAATGTCTGAGATATACAGGAAATTGCGAGGAACTTTGAGATACCTTTTGGCAAATCTTCATGATTGGAATGTATGTTCCATTATTATCAAAGGCCTTAAATTGTCTCTTAGTGGGTAGAATTTTGATTTTCTTCCCTTTTCCTGGAACCCCTATATTTTAAACAGGGCAGAGGACTCTCAAGTTCCTTCCATTTTACCAAAATAGAACATATCTCATCTCTCTGCCTAAAAAGTAAAATCCATTACCACCTATTGTCTCTGGGTTGGTTAAAATAACGTCTATTTTTCTATGCCTCTCTGCAGTTCTCTTTTCTCTTGTTCCTCACGCGTTATCTTATTGACAGGAAGATTATGCTGTTCCATACCATGAACTTCCCAGGATTGATCAGCATGCGCTATTCCAGCTTGAAAATGTTGTAAATAACATTCAAGGGAATTATGAAAGTTACCAATTTTTCAAAATATTTCAGGTTAGTTATTGTAAATCTTGGTCGGACATTCAATTTGTATGTTTCATTGTGATGCTGCTTGATTTTTGTCAATACCTACAGCTAACTAGTGCCAATATATTTGTTTGACTGTATTTTTATTTGGTAAAATGGAAAGGCATTTTCAGGTCAAAACAGGGGTAACCTATTATATCCGGGAAAATCCAATGAACTAGTTATGGGGCTTGAAGAGAGAAAAAGGAATTATAGAATCACTAATCATTGTTTCTTGCATCAAGTTTTATAGTCGGACATGAAAAATCAGTGTAAAACTTAGAATTGGTTTGTTTATGAATGATCATTCATGTCCTTAGCTGAACTATATTTAATAAATTGTTAGATGTTAGATTTGTCAATAATTACAATGCAACTTTTTTTTATTTCAGATTTTACAGAGGTTTGTCATTGTTGACTTGTCAAATTTCTATTTTGATGTTGCCAAAGACCGACTTTACGTCGGGTAAGTTGCCAGGCTTTCCCACTTATTTTATCTTATATTGCATTGTGCGAATGTATCATGACAGATAATATAACTTCAACAACCAACTTGGCACATATACTACGAATCTGCAAATAAAGATTTAGACGTAGACAGATTTTGCATGATTTCTTTATATTATGTGTATTCGCCAAATAATTTTTCTTGTTTATTTTGCAGTGGATCAACAAGTTATACTAGGAGAAGTTGCCAAACAGTTCTTGCAGCTCATCTGCTTTCCATTGTGAGAGTAATAGCACCAATATTGCCCCATTTAGCTGAGGATGTATGGCAGAACCTTCCTTTTCGGTATACAACTGAACATGGCTCTGTTGCTGAGTATGTATTTGAATCAAGATGGCCCTCCTCGAATGAGAGATGGCTTACCCTTCCTGCTGAAGAAATTGGTTTCTGGGAGAAGATTCTTGAGGTGCTTTCCCGTTAAATGATGTCATCCTTATCCACGATTTAGTTCATTCGTGATGGAATTATGATATAAATTGCACTGAAGTTTTACAATTTCTGAATCTAGAAAAAAATTCTATGTAGTCTGAAAATCCCTAATAGTTTACATCAAATGTATTTAATGTTATAGTGTATATTACTGAATGATGTCATTTTTGGCCAGCTGAGGACAGAGGTGAATAGAGTCTTGGAGATTGCACGAACTGGCAAGCTCATTGGAGCCAGCTTAGATGCAAAGGTTCATATTTATACTGCTGATGCCAGCCTGGCATCCCAGTTATCTGAACTATGTACCACAAAAAATGATGCCGATGCTCTGCATCGTCTACTCATAACATCTCAGGTATGTCCCATCCATCTTCGGAGAAAATACGCACCAGTTAGGAAGATATGAAGGGACAAAATTTATTTATATTTTTTTCCCAAGAGATTTAAGAACAGAGAGTGTAACAGTCTCAAACTCTATTTGGAATAACACCAGTCACACTAGGACACTATTTTTTTTTTTTTTTTTTTACCCTGGACACATCACAGGTAAATATTTACCTAACTTACAAACCTTCCTCAATCCTTAATAACCTTTTGGCTTTTAAGATGATAATGTTATTCTTAACCTCCGAGACTGTTAATACCTATCCCTAAGCCTCAAGCTTGCAAAGCCTATGGATCATTTCTAGTAAAATACAGCCAAAAAGCAAGAATAATGTTCAGCTCAAGAGCTTCTGAGTGCCCAGGTAGTACCATGAATCTTCACTGCATTACCTTCCTCACCCAATTTGTTTGAAATTTTAACCTAAACATTCAGCTCAGAACCCATAAATTGATACTTCTTCTAATCTTAAATATAAGACATTTTATAGTGTAATTTACACCATAAAATAGGTCTTCTATTTAGGACTGGAGGAGTATTGATTAAGAGGGTGTTTGGATAGAAACCAAACTATGGTTTCAAAAGTGCTTCTACGGTGTACGAAGTAAATATGTGGAAGAGTTTGTCTCGTTTTGCGGAAAAGTGCTTCTTCAAGGTTGCCAAACACCCCCTAACTCTGTTATTTATCTCTAGACACGGTTCATTCACGCCTTCCATATGCTCAATGTTATTTATCTCTAAACACGGTTCATTCACGTCTTCCATATGCCCAATCTACCGTTATGCATTTCTGCAATGCCATTGCATGGTGTGAGAACCAGTGGTTGTGTCTCTGTAAATACATATATGACTCCTTTGGTTAATAATACCATTCCCAAAACTCAACATTCCCACCCGAGTTATACCCAATGGCCATCAAAAGACCAAGAAAGGAAGAGAAAGAAAGGAGCTAGTTTTTTATCCATGAGAAAAGCTTGAAACCATTTGTTAGCTTTTGATATACTGTAACAAGTTTTTTAATTGCTGTGAATAATACTTAATTTGCCTTGCATGTTTGATGTTTGGCAGGTTGAGATTCTTCCATTGTTGGAGGATCAACTGATTGCAAATATCCCATATAGCGGTGAGTGCCTGATTCAAGGGAATACTAAAGTGTGGGTTGGAGTATCTCGTGCTGAGGGTTCTAAGTGTGAAAGATGCTGGAATTATTCACCTCTTGTTGGCTCCTTTTCCGACCACCAAACCCTCTGTGGCCGCTGCCATAACGTCATCGCCGATCAGCTGCCCCGAGAAGTATTTGCAGTTAGCTGACATCTCCAAAGAAACAAAAATTATTTAATTTCTTTAATCATTAGTGACGCTGATATTCCCCTTTTTCTTAACACATCAGCTATTTATCCCGTCAATACAAAGCACCTCTATTGGAACAATATTTTGAACTAGAGGTTTTGTTTTAAAAGTGTCAAGATATTTATTATCACAGTATTATCATCGGGAAAAAAAAAAGAGTAGATTATTTTAATACCGTTGTGAGATATTTAGCCATTTAGGGCACATTTGGTTGGAATGAAATGGACTATATCATTATAACAGAATAGTAATAAGATTCTTTTAACTAAATCATACAATTCGAGAAAATAGTTAAAAATAATTAGAAGTAATAAATATGTAAAAAATGAATTTTTTTTCAAATATATCCTAGTGATAAGATAAAAGAGAATGTGTGAAGAAAAAATGATGAGAATAGAAATTGGTAAAAACATATTTAAACACTCCAAACACTCCTATATAAAAAAAAAATCAAACCAATTTAAATTTTGAAATCTTATGAAAAGAAACAGGGGGAGTATGTTATTTAAAAAGGTGGGAAGGGAATCTTCAATATTTGGTTCAAAAGATAAAAAGGAAAATACTAGATACTCTGGAGGCGAAAAAGCGCTCTACTTCTTTGTCTGCTTCCTCAAACAAGATTCATAACGGATTCGAACAGATTCAAGCAAATCAAATTCAAATCACCACCCCACCCCACCCCAAAAAACAAAGAAAGCCTCAGCCCGCAATCACATGAACCTGAGGGACGGGACAGCACATGAAACGTGCCACGGCAAAGATGGTCTCACTGGTGTGGCAGGGCCGGTAGGGTCAGTCGGGTCGTCAATGGCAAAAGGGAATCAATTAGGAATTTAAAACAGGGAAACGTAGCTTTAGGTGCCATGGACGAGCCATTAAGTCCGTGGAAGGCGAGGCGATTCCCATATTTCTGGGAATCATAAATTGCCAATGGAACGATGCATTGAAATGAATCTCACTTGAGAATGCCATCTTCATTCTCCGGGGCCTAGTAATTGAACCAGGCGGTCCCCATAGTCAAGTATCGATATTTTTCCGATTTTCCGTCCCCTCAAATAAGTTTTCTTATGTTGGCCCCAAAACACCAGGCTCGTCAAAATCGCCTTAAAACTGACCTGGCTAAACTTTACCACATTCATCTTGTGAATCCTCGTTGGTACTACAGATGTCGCGTAAAATGAAAATGCACACTTTTTTTTTTTGGCCAAACAAAATGCACACTTGAATCTCATCACATGAAGACGAGAAATTCTAAATCACAGCCCACCCTTTCAGATATCATTTGAAACTCACCTCTCTTTAATAAGCCGTCAAACAAAATTCTTGCGTTAAAACCATTTAAAAAAAAAAAGACATTCAAGATCAACGAGCTTATCAAGTAATCGTACACGTGCTCTATTTTGAAAGGCATGAACATCAGAAAAAATTGCCGATCGAGTAACGATCATCACCGCAAACCACCCAATAGATAGCAACACACAATGTAGATGAATTTACAAGGGAAGGGGCCGCCCAAATAATGATACAGAATGCACCTGCTTGTGGCAGGCAGATTCATCTTACAAACACAAATAAGTCCATGTTAGCATTCCTGGTAGGTTAAATATTCTGCATCAATGAATTAACCTGAGCACATGAATTAGGCGACGGTTGTTGCATCATCTCAGGTTCATCTAAATCTTGTGATTGAATCGGTATGTCCTGTTACACAAAAAATTAATGTATAGCCATGTAATTTAAGAACAAAAGGCAAAATAGCTAATCAAGAAGTTCTCAATGGACCGGGATCCTCTCATGCAAGGGTATTACGTGATGTCATTTTAATTGGCCCCTCACTACCTATTTTCATTAAAGAAAATCATATGGTTTAAAATAATTCAGATTTCAAGTTTCCCTTAGCATCTTTAACTCAAGAAGTGAACAAGTAAATGAAAATAAATTCAATACCTGTGTCTGTAGAAGTGGTGGTGGTTGCTGGTCTTGGGCTAATGTATAAGCTTGCGGTTGAGACATTCTATAGTAGGGTTCTTTCAAATCAAGTTTGCACGATGAGGTTTGAAGAATCCCTCCTTGTTCAGCACCAGGGCCCCACATTTTAGCTGAAAGAAAAAAAATGGACCATGGCTCCTCAGCAGAACAATGCAAGGTCCCAAGAGTAGCAACAGGAATAAAAAGGATAAACACTAACCTGACAGTGTTAAATATAGTGTATAGCTCTGGGCATTGTGAGCAACCATGTGGAGCTTGCCAGTAATTTCTTGTCCCGCCATGACATAAATTGGCTGAGAGAGAACACAACGCAACTGGTACCAGTGGGTTGTTGGTGACCCCGGGGCAGTGGTAAGCCACCTTTGCACAGTACTGAGGATTTGGAACAAATGTTGGCAAATCAACAGACAGGAATATGTATGAATAAAAATGGATAATAAAAATATCTAAAATGCACTTTTTACCTTCCATTAAACAGTACGTCAAACCAACAAGCCAGCCCATGTACTCGTGCACCCACAGAGGCTACGAATCTTAAAGGTATATCTATTTCATACAGTTCTTCTTCCTACAGAAAATCAGCATGTAAGTTGCGATCCTCTGTTGTTCAAAGGTAACTTCATTTCAAGTGTCAGCACAATACTCCCTCCGTTCCTTATTATAAGAGACATTTGATACTTATGGTATGTTCCCATATATAAGAGACACTTAAAAGTTGTCTCTATTTTTTTGTATTGATTTCCTATTTTACCCCTATTTATTTTGTCTCCAACTCATACTCTCTCTCCCTCCCACTTCTCTTTCTTTTAATAATTTAATTGTTCTCTCTCATACTCTCTCTCCTTATTAATGGGGGCATTGTTAGAAAAAACATTATACTTTTTACACATTAATTGTCCTCAACTAATTTTAACTGTTTTTTTTGTTAACGTAATTTGGTTATTTGTCTCTTATAATAAGGAACAAAGGGAGTAAAAAACAATAAAATTTGACCAAGAAAATACTTCATAAACCACAAGTGGAGGTTTTTTTTCTTTTCTTTTTTTAAATTACCAAAGAGTATTAGTTCCGTTATAAATTCATAAATGGAAGGCTGTCAGGACATTTCCAATGCGATTCTTCTTACTTCCAGTAAACTAAGAATAAGGAACAGCTCACACAGATTCCTTTTTTTAACAATACCAGATACGTAATATTATTTTGCTATAAAATAGGTACAACCTATATACTATTATCTATTTCTAAGAGGCACTCCTACAAAACATTTTTGGGATGGCGTAATTAGAGGAAATCCAAGACAGAAAATTGGAATGGCATCCAACATACATTAGCTTACCCCAAAGAGCTAGCTCTTACCTTTATTTTTGTGAAGTCTATCACATGGAACATAGGAGGAGCTATTAACAATCTCGGATCAAAAGCATCCACCACAGGCTGCACGGAAAAAATGGAGAAAACACAAGAATTTTTTGTAAAAATGTCAAATTCTACTGCAACAAAAATAATAAAATATATCATCAGGATGATGGCACAAAAACACCACTGGTTGTCCCTAAATGCTGAAGAAATTAACAGTAACTATCTGCATAAATCATCATCTCTACCTTGAATTTTGTCCATGGAATTATTTGAAAGAATAAGACATTATCTACAAGCTCATAAATCTTCCAATACTCTAAACAAAGCAGCAATAAGAAACTGCCCACCATTTCACAATACTAAACACAAATACAAATCGCCAAGGCAAAATACATCCTTGGGCATTTTTTACCAAAAAAAGGGCAAAAAATATCCAAACTGCAAACATACTCAATAGGCAATACGATGCAGAGAGCTTTGCTCAGAGAAATATAGGGAACACGTCATGCTCGTAAATTCTAAACCCATTATGAACCCTTAAAGTGATGAAATTTAAGCTGAAGATACAACGAAATTAGAAGAATTCAAAAAAAAAAAAAAAAAGGAACAAGAAATAATCTTAGTAGAGCACCACTGTCAATAATTCACTTTCTTCTTCCTGCAAGTCCTTTTCCCTCTCATCAATGACAATGCATGTAAAGGACTTTAGATCCGAGAGGGTCAACGGGAATGGGTTCACAAATTGATTTTCAAGATAAGCATCTCCATAATATTCATTAAATCAATCAACTAATTCAAAGGAAAACAAAATTGACATCAGCATGTGCTGATGTATGCCTTGATAAGTTCAACCCACCATAAAAGATCTATGAAGAGGGAAGACCCTCCCTAAAATCGATATATAATCTGCACATACACACTTCAAAATGAAAATCTCCATTTATCTTATGAAATAACAAGCCCATCAGAAACTACTGGCAGGCACAAAAACAGACCGAAAGCATGCACCAGAACAGACCTAGAAGAAATCCAAAAAGTCCTATATCGCAGCTAGAGGGAACAAGGAAGAATTCTACAAATAGAAGCTGCATTAAAAAGGGATGAATAGCTCTTAATAGACCAATTGTAAAGTGCACAACGCATAGAATCCTCTTCTGTTTGCCACGTGACTAACAAATTTAATATTCCAACTTATTTGACAAATGCCATAAACGGTGGGAACAGACAGATGTAATTCCCAGTTTGATCCTTGACAAAGCAATATCAAACATGTCTGCTCCGTCCTCACCACAATAAGTGCATGTGAACATATCATATAGACCTTTTGAAAAGGAAGCAAACCTCAAACAACAATTTCAACACCAGATAACTATATCTAGTCTACGCTTGTACGACACTGTGTGATTCTAGTAACTTAGCAGACCCAAGAATGATACCTGAGAAAAGTATCCTTGAAATGCAGTGCCATACAAGGGTGTCAAATCAACACCGTAATAGTTCTGTTGCTGCCAAAACAAGGCCTGAACAGATAGAACAGTAGCCAGCATTGAGATTCAGCTTTAAGAAATATACTCAAAGGAACCTAGAAAAAGTTTTCTTATCACTAATCCAGAAGGGAATGCTAGATCACAACATAATGTAGCACAGAACTACAAAAACAACCGATGAGATCATTGATTCTACAAAATAAAAAATTATATATATATTTTTGGGGATTTTCCTCCCCTTTTAATAATAAAGCGTTTATATATCTAATTGAATTCAACTAAAATAATTTTAACTGGACAGCTGAAGCAAAGGTCAGTCACAGAATTATCTGATCACATCTTTCACCAGCGAAAATTTAATTGAGCAGAAGCATTTTACAAAATCAAGCCTCTCATAAAATCTTTCTCCCAATTCCAAGTGTCAAAGAAGTTTTATTTTAAGGATTCATAAGAAGTATGATGTTAAGGTATTGTAGAGAAATTAGAGGAGAGAGGAAGAAGAAATCTCTTTTGGGGGGGGGGGAGAGGGAGACGAGAGAGAGAGGGAAAACTTATTCTGTTCACTTAAGCCATTCGCAAGTCTAATTACAACTTACCCAAGCCCTTTATTTATAGGCCCAAGGACTTAGTAACTAATACTAACTCACTCCCTCCTTTCTATTATATTTACATATCATATGAGATATTCTAAAAATTCAAATCATAGTGACAAACCTTGTTAGCAATTTCGATAAACAGATATTCATCAGTGAAAGGTGCCATGTGAATCCTACACCAACAATCAATTCATGGTCATGAGAATACAATATAAACTTTATAAGCAAACACAAACCGTGGTCATGAGAAATCAGACTTTTTGTGGTTTGATACTAGGAATTGCCATTGAAGCTGTAAGAAATGGTAGCTCAAAATACCGTGATGGAAATGAGCCACTTTAAAGAAAAAGACAATTATTTGACAGTAACTATGCTTAGTAGTTTCATATTCTCACGATAATATGTAATAAGGTTGCATACAAAAAAGCACCCAGAGGCCAGAAAAGCAGAGAGGGTTGTCAACATTCAAATTTACCTTCCCACCGTGGGAAACATTTTCCCCTCAGGACTGAGAAACCTATCTCTAGCAATGACGTACGACTCCAACATCCTTTCATTCACCAACAAGGTTCCTGCATTCCAGTACAGAAATATTACAAATTAGAAACAAGTGGCGGGAAAAGTTATCAATCCGTGAAGCCACAAATTATCTTTCTAATATAGAACACTTGAACAATCTTGAAGCATTTAAACATGCGAAATGACAAACAAAAATACATGGACCAGATAGATACATAACTTATCCATGGAATAGTAGCATCATTTTCCATATTCACTGAAGCAAGTAGAATATGAGCATACCCATGGGCTCAGAGATCAAAATATCTGCTTTCTCCGGCAATTCTACGTCCTCAACCTTGCCCTTGATCACCTGTAGATTTTAATCAGAAATTGCCCTAAATAATGAGACCAAAAATGAATGAAGAACATTGCATAAAAGCTAGGGGAAAGAAAAGCATACTGTAATTCGTTGACCAAGCATTGGGTTTCCAGCTATAAGTTTCCGTGCATATTCTGCCATTTCCGATGCCTCCACAGCATAGACATGTTTTGCACCGGCCTGAGAGAAAACAGCAGAACAATAAAGACCTAGTACAGAGCTTTGGATGTGGGAGGCAGGGAAGATGCCTTAAATATTCATTTAATCAAAAGCAATGGCATTTATCATACCGCAAATAAGATTCAACCAATTTAAGTATCGAATACCTGAGCAGCAAATAAGGACAAAATACCACTACCAGCACCAACATCAACTACTACGCGGCCCATGAAATCAGCACGGTTCTCAATAACTGCAGCATAATAGGTTCCTGAAACAAGATCATGAGTGAATTTGTCAGATAAGGAAAATATCATGTACTCCAATGTCCCATTTAAAATCAAATTGTGGCCTGTTATTAAAGAAATAAAAGTCAAGTTGTTACCTTCACTCAAATGTAAATTAAAACCAACAAAGCCGTTGAAAACAAAATGGTAATACCTGTTCTAACATAGTCCTGCAGCATATTTTGCTGATGCAGAAGCTGCCCATAGTAATGGAAATACATTTTTGCAGAAGATTGCTCTATCTTCTCGTCAAATTTACTTTTAGAACTTGGTACAATTCCATTTGGTAAGCTTCTGCCTGAATCTAAGAATCAAATGAAGATCAGGACTTACTAGTAGAGTGACATGATATGCAATCAATTATCAAACACGAGAATAAAAGCTTCCAAAGCAACACCTTGAGCATTCGCTTCCTTCTTCCATTGCTGGAACACACTATCAAAGGCCCCGCTTTCCTCCTCATTTCTAAACTGGATAGTTATTCCCCTTGAGAATGATGTCTGGTTCAAAAGCAGCATCTTCAGGTTCTTAAAGACTAAACAACTATACATTCCTTCTACAAATGATACAACTGTGATCTTGTAACATTATATTAATCAAGTCTCGCCAGAGCATAAGCATTAGATTATGAATAAAGAAGCAAAAAACAAAAACAAAAACAAAAATCAGAGGACTGCATTTCACATTGGAAGCAGTAAAAATACGTCACCAAATTTCTCTGCAAGCTCAAATCTTCTAAAACGAGGAAAAATCCTAGTTCTTCCGAAGTTTCAACCAAATGAGACAATATTAAGTAATGCCGCAAAGCTACGATATCGAATTTTCTAAAATAAGATGATCCTCTATACCTGGTTATCGACAACAGAGCCTTCGACCATGCAAACAGATTGAACAGGACCTAATTTAAATATCTGCAAACCAGCAATGCACAATCATCAAGAGATTGGACGTTCATCATACGTGTCCCATTCATTATATACATCGTCATTGCTTAAGAAAGATTAAATAATTTCGATGCATGCTTTCAGCATTGAAGGAACAACCGAAATAAGAAATGATCAGCTTATTAAAGCTCCAAGAAATTACCCTTTTTGCCGCGTTCATGTGGGTACTAATCGACGAAGCAAAAACGTAGAATATAAGCACAAAATCAAAGACGGAAACGAACCCGAGCAGTTTCAAGATCAACATCGATATCAATCTGGAGAGAATCTTGATGAATATGCAGCTGTGCCACGGAACCGTCGGAAGTGAAGCGAGCAATACCGGGAGAAGCAGACGAAGCAGGCGAAGAGAGCTCAGCAACTGATACCAAAGTAAACTCACGGTTGTTCCGCTTTTGCCCGACGGAATCCTCCATTACGGCCCTCACCAGCAAGCTCAATCCAGGCACAGCTACGTTTTTCTCTTATTTCCTCAACCAAAAATAGTTTTTAAAAAAATAAAGAAATATATGTGTATACCTATACGATATGAGTATTCTGAAAAAAGAAAAAAAAAATCAAGAAGATAGAGGAAAAAGTAAGGAGTGAACTAGGGTTTGAGATTTGGAGGAAAGAGCCTTGGAGAGAAAATCCAGAGCCGCCAGAGAAGGCGAAAGAGGTTGTGAGGTTGAGGTTATATAGTGTGCGTGTTGCTTTCAAGGTTCAGTTGGAGGGATGAGTGACAGTGAGAAGCATTTAATTTGATTTTTGGGGGAAGCAAAGATATGAAAAGAAACATATCACACACATACACGCACATACCCCACAGGGCTCGCACCACGCAACACCGCACAACGTGTGCTTACTCTCACTCTCAGGCGCGTTCTGACTGTGGTGGTGGGATTTGACGATGTTTGCCGACCCTCCGAGATATTTGTAAGAAATATTTTTTTATAAAGCGAAACAAATTTTTTTATATATTTATTTTATAAACTGTAAAAATATTTTTAAAAATATAGTTTGGTTTCCATCCAAACACCATCTTAATGTTTTGTAGACTCTTGCGTTTGGGTATATGTTCATCTGGTTCTCATTGTCACTTCCCCCCTTTTTTAATAAGTTATCTTTTTTAGTCATGTACTATTTCCAGTTCTTAATATAAGACTTTATTTGATTTTTATTTTAATCCTAAATATAAGACCCCAATCCACTTTGTCTCTCATATTTATATTTTTTTTAAAGTAGTCCTTCTAATAATAATAATTCTAGCCAATACACTTGATTAGTAAGGATATTTAAAGAAAGATAATACATATTTATTACGAATAACTAACTTAACTTATTTTCTTAATTTTCTCAAATTAGTCAACTAGCTCTTATAATTAGAACCAGAAGTAGTATATTAAAACTATTCTTTTAGTCCTAAGTATAAAACCCTTATACATACTACAAAAAGGGTCTTATATTTAAAACCAAAGGAGTATCATGCTATAAAAATTTTCTTAGTATATATTATCAATGAGGATTATTTTTAAAAAAATTATAATTTTGAGGAACTGGGTGAACAAAAGTAACGCTAACCCTATATCTAGTTCATATATTTAAAATCGGAGTTGAAAATCTGATAAACAAGGTGAGTACAGTCATCATAAATTCTTAGCACATTAATTACAAAAAATTAATTCGAAGTTCTTCCTCAGGCTTTTTTCCCCTTAATCTGTACAGATCCGGTGAAGAAGTCGTGTATTTATGATTTAGGATGAGAGAAGTATATATAACTTTTTCTAATAAATGGAATTTATTGAGGATGATTTTTAAAATTTTAAAAATATCAATCAATCTTGACTAGTTCTTTAATCTCTCTCGGTATGTATGAAGTTCTTAATATGCTATTACAATAGTTGTACGGGGAGCATCTTGGGATAAAATAAGAAGCACGACTATTACAAAACGGAAATTGCGATTTTAAGAAGTTCATAATGCAAACAAATTAATAGGTATAGAATATATAGATTTTATTTAGATGATCCAATTTTTTTTAATTTGTTCAAGATAATTTTTTAATAGGTATAGAATATAAAATAAAAATATCTTAACTATCATTTTTTTCAAAAAATAATTTTTTGTCTTTAAAAATAATTACTTAAAAATTTAAAATCTGAACCATTCAAATAAGATTTTAATGGTCAACATCTGATGAGCTCAGGATAATCATTAGTGTGATAAGTACTGAGACTGATTTCATAGTTTAAATTGCGCCATCAATGTTAACATTGTCACTTAATATAAAATTAGATTCACAAATCACAATAAATGAAAAGTGCAGCTTCAAATTATACGCAATCACAACAAAAACTATATGGCGACAAAACGATGTGATTTTACTCAAAAATAGTTTAACTTAAATATTTATAATGAATATTATTTTGACCACGCACAGTGTTGCAAGAAAATAGTTTGATTATTGAAAATATGAATTTGTTCTTCTTTTTCTGCCAGAGATTGGAAAATATTTTTTGGACAAGGTGGAGATTGAGAAATCTGAATCTCACGTCATAATCGTTTCTCAATGTAGCCAGCTGAAGAATGGCAAATGGGGAGGTTGAGAACAGGCGGCATTAAACCTAACTCAAATCAACTAGTTAGATCCATGAATTCTGGCCCAAAAAAATCCATGAATTGGTGAGTCAATCCATTAATTGATCTGATCATGAGTTTTAGGGAGTATCTTAGTTGGAAGTGAAACTATAGTTCTAAAAATGCTTTTATGGTATATGAAATAAATATGTGAATAAATTTATTTCAATTTACAAAAAATTACTTTTTAAAAGTATTTATTTATTGGGTAATCCAAATACCCCTTTAAATGAATTTGGTTAGATTAGATTTTATATTTTTTCTCTGCCCCTCTGATACGACACTGTTTGAGTCTAACTATTAATTAAGTGAAAAAATAATAGTCCACCAATCTCATACTTAATAACTCTATTTTGTCAAATTGCGTGTAATCTACGCTATATATGAATGTGTGGATCGATGTCTTCTTTTTTCAGAATTAATATAATTTTTATCCTTTAAATTTGTTTTCATTTTGATTTTGATTTTTTAAGTTTTAAATTCTAGGTTTTAGTTTCTTAATGGATAAAATAATCTAAGTTTTTTATTAGATTATAAAGATTAATATTTTAAATACAAAATTTTGAGGACCCAAAAGAGTAGGGGTGTTCACGGGACGGATCGGGACCGAGACAGGCCTGTCCCGGTTCCGTCCCGATGAACAGTAACGGGACAGATTTTCTGTCCCGTGTCCCGGCCCGTCCCGGGGTTGTCCCGGTCCCGGTCGGGACGGGACGGATCCGGGACGGGACTGGGACATCCCGAAATAATTTTTTTAAAAAAAAAAATCTAATTTTTTTAATTATATTTTTTTGAGCTTAAATCTTATAAAAACATCTTTTTTATTTGTTTGGGCACTCTTAAACAAAAGCTCAAAATATTACATATAATAGTTATTAAAAACTCTAAACAAAAGCTTTTAACACAATAAAAACTTGCTAAAAATTCTAATCATCAATAATCTCAAATCATTAACAAATATAAAAACTCTAAATAAATATATCCATAGTTCCATACAATAGTCTCAAATTTTAAAAAAATATGAAAAAAATGATATTATATAAAAAATTAAAAAATTAATTTTTTTTTTTTAAAAAAGGAACCGGGACGGGACGACCCCGTCCCGTGTCCCGTCCCGTCCCGGTCCCTTTTTTGTCCCGTCCCGGTTTGTCCCGTCCCGAAAAATTTCGGGACGGATCCGTCCCGTTCCAATAAGACCGGGATCGGAACGGGCCGGCCTTGAACACCCTTACAAAAGAGAGCCAACTTGAAGAGTGAAAGTTTGTACTAACTTTTTTTTTTTTGAACATTACTTTATTTACGCCAGTCCATACTCCATAGTGCCCCATGTCATGGAAGCCTCCATCAACCCCTGGGCGTCCCTTTCCGACAAAACCCGTGCATTGACCTGCTCTCTCTCTCTCTCATGCTTCTTTTTTTTTGGGGTTCCCTGTCACGCGTATACCCACCCACGTCAAGAAACAATAGTCCGAGGCTCCTCCATTCGCAAAACATCATTCGGAGCGAGACCTATTACCTATGTATGGAACTAACTGGGCTCTGCTGGTGATCGATCGCGCGTTGTTCTCACTCTCGGGTTCGAATCGAACAACTCGGCGGATAGCGCGTGTGTTGTCTCTCATCACTTAGATAGTTTCAAGGATCTCATCATCAGTTCTTCTCCCTCCCGCTGGCCGCCGCCGCTCGCCGTCTCCTTTCATGAACGTCCTCCTACCTCCGTCGCGTCTTTCTCCCTTCACCGCCGTCGTTACCCCGCCGTCCTTCAGCTTTGGTTTTGATATGCATGGTAAGGCTTTTTAGTCTTCTTGGCTCCCACCTTCTCTTCTTCTTCAGCTTCGTCTTTTACTTCATAGGTAATTGTTTTGGAGTTAGCCTAATGGGTCCGACACGCAAGTTCATGAATATTAATGTTGTATTTGGTGAGCATGTCTGATAACGCTTGACTCCAGACTCCACTCTTGTCATGACAAGAGAGAGAGCTGTCTTCGATCATGGCAGCCACTTTTGACTCTTCAGAATAAGCCCCAACGTATAATTAATTTTGATTATTTAAAAAAATTAAAAAAATAAATTAAGTTAGATATTCATAATAAATATATGTAATTTTTCTTAAAATATTTTTACTTATCAAATTTATTGGTTAGAATTATCATTATTAAAAGAATTACTTTAGGAAAAAATATATAAATATGAGAAACGAAATGAATTATAGTATTATATTTATGACTAAAATAAAAGCTAAACAATGTCTTATATTAAGACGTGGAGGTAGTATCAGTTTAAAATTTATTTGGAAAAAAAATAAAAATAAAATAAATAATTTGTATATGTATAGTTAAGTCCACCAGCTCTTAAGTTATCTCCAAATTAATAGTACTTTCTCTGTTTAATATAAAAGTTAGATAATTAATTTAAAAAAAATTAAAAAATTAGTTAAATTAATTATTTATAAAACAATATATGTTAACTTTCTTAAATTATCCTTATCCAATCATGTGCATTATAACTACGCTTGGGTGGAAATATGCCTTATAATCAATACGGATATTTTTTAAAACACATTATAAATTTAGAAGACAAAATAAATCTATATCTTACATTTAGAACCGCTGATTAGCTTTTATATATATTTAGGAACGGAGTGATGATGAATTTTTTCGCTTGCTGTATATGCATTGGGTTCTTTCCTCTGTACAATAGCATTGCCTTCTAGATTTACTTGGTTGTGGTTGATTTATCTTGTTTCTGAGATAAATATTTCTACCTTAATTGTTGCTTTAGTTTTAATTAGACGTCACTCACCAATGACTTTGTTGATTATATATTAGAAGCTTTGTACTTCGTAACTTGACTGCGTGTCGTGTGAGGAGAATAAAAGGTGGTTGGGCAGAGAGGGTTTAATTTAAAAAACAGATGTGAAATTTTTTTTCCCAAAAAATAGTAGTTTTTGTTATGATAGTAACAAATCATTATGAACTTCAGATAAAATCAGATCAACCGGTCCAAGAAACCGCAAAAAGAAAAATCTTAAATAAAAAAAATGCTCATATGAAAATCAAAATTAGACTTATGGTGGGAGGCCCACAGTTTACTTTACATGAGTGTTGCCTTCTTTTTTGATAAAAGAACTATTTTATTCAAACATAAATAAAGAAATAGTATAAGGTTTATTTGATTTTTATTTTAGTTCTAAATATAATATCTCAATTTATTTTGTTTCTTATATTTAATTTATTTTTTTAAAGCAATCCTTGTAATAATAGTAGTTCTAACAAATATATTTAATTAGCAAAGATATTTTTAAAAAAGATAACATATATTTATGATAAATAATTAACTTAACTAGATTTTTTAATTTATTCAAATTAGTTAATTAGCATCATATTGAAAACAGGAAGTAGTACATAAAAAGACATTAGACTGTCACAACATATATAAACCAATACGAATCACACGAGTGTTACCGCCCTTGCCACCCAGGATTACAAAAAGAAAAGTCCTTAATGTTTGTTTGCAAAAGATGGGCGTCAAATAATACATGTAATGTTATCGATTTTATATTATTGAATTTTTTATATTTTATTTTTTATTTATGTGTATTATATTTATATTTATTTAATAATTCAGAATATAAGTCATATGCAACTTAGCTAGTCATATAATATTAGAGCCAGAAAAATAAGTTGAACCTGTTGGGTAGGCCCATTTATGCCTAGAAATTATGAGAGCCGGATTTGAAATTTTTTCCTAAAACGACAAACAAACCCTATAGGATTGGCCCGCTCGTTTAGGCTATTTAAAAAAAAATTTGTTTTATAAATTTTTTTATAATTATAATATTATTAATTTTTTATATTGTTAGTGATTTTTCAAATATTTAGTTATTATTATCATTTGAAAATTAAATTTTACAGAATAGTTTGGTTTATTTAGTTTTAGACAATAATTTGTCTGATTAAATTTTTCAAAAATGGGTTAATTTAGACTTTAATAATGATTTGATTTATATTATATGTGTTGATATTTTTAAACTATATATATGTGTGATAAGAGAGTATCTTTATACTTATATAACTTGTAGTATTATAATTTGAATTAGAAATTTATATGTTTCAACAACAATATTTCTTAAACTAAAATAAAATAATAGCTAGATTGTAAAATTTAAAAATGAAATTCTTATAAAGAAGAAAATCTTGATATTTTTGTTGCGAAATAAAAGTATACTTATTAAGAAGAGTAATTGATTATAGTGATGATGAAATTTCAAAATATTAATGATAGTGTTTGTTTATTGCTCATTTGTACTATAGATGAAACTTTTAGATATTATTATCTTATTAATGAATGTTTTAGATGTTTTTGAATGTTGATGGATGTTTATATATGATGATATTTTGCATTTGTGACTTAATTTTATTCATATTTATATCTTTTATTAATAAATTTATTGGTTTATTTTTATTTTTTTATAAAAATATGAGAAATATGAAAAATAGTATTTTTTCTTAAACGAACTGAAAACCAGTGAGCCAACCTTGAGCCTGTTAGCTGAAGGATCAGACCTAACAAATTGGGATATTTTTAAAATTTCCGTATTGTAGGATCGGCTTGTATGCCTACCTCTATGTAATATCCTATCATAATACTCAAGCCTTCTTCAAAAGTGTTTTTCATTAATTCCGACCAAAAAAAAAAATCACACAAACATGTTTCACTTTCTTAAGTAATATTCTCCCAGTCATAAATATAATATTCTTTTTATAGTGTAATTTATATTATAAAAGAGGTTTTATATTTAGGACCGCATAAATATTACTTACACTACAAAAAGAGTTTTATATTTAGGATTGGAAGAATACCATCTAAATACAAATCATCTTGATAGTATTTTTAATAGAATCAAGTTTTTTTTTTGACCAGCTTTAATAGAATCAAGTTTGTAAATTCAACCATGGCCAAAGTAAATTATATAGGGAGTGTTCGAGTAGAAAGATCATGATCTTCTTATTGCCCGTGAATTTCAGCCGTTCAAATCAATCTGGCATCTCACAGGCCGCCACATCATACTTCTAGAACAAAAAAATTGAAAATAACTCTAGACCATTTTTAGACATCTTTTAGTGTATTTTCTGGGTCTACCTCATTTCGACTTCAACCGGCAGATTTATTAAGGGTTTAGACTAATCTGAATCGACTCAGGCAATACCACAAAACTGTGTCATCAACTATTTAAATTTTTTTTAATACTACCTCAATTCAATCTGAAAATTTATCTAGGTCCAGATTAATCTAGATTGAATTAGGTAGGACTGCAAAGGGCAGCTAAACTGTGCCACAAAATATTTTAAAATTAAAATACGCGTATTTGGTGGCAGAATTTTCATGTCCTTTGTGGTATTGCCCAACTCGATCCAAATTAATCTATATCGATGATAAATTCTCTAGTTAAAGTGAAGTAGGTTCAAAACACCACATCTATATCCTCAACAAGCTTTCTAGTTGAAATGAAGTAGGTTCAATAAATCACACAAAAAACATTGTTTTTTTGAAAAATGGTTCATATTTATTTTTCATTTTTTGTTTTAAAAGTATGATAAAGTGACAGCATGTGAGGTGCTTAGATTGATCTGGATCGAAAGTAATTTTATGATATATATGAAAACAATTTGAAACCCAGCCAGCCCCGCAAGCTCCAATCCGAACACACGGGAGGGGGTCCTGTTTCCATGGAAAAGTGGTTTCTGGACTTGTGAGAGCGAGCAATAGGAGATCAGGGGCACTAGTGGCGGTTCAAAAGTTCAATGCTTCCCAAGTGCTTTTTGAGGGTAAAAAATCTTCACCAACTTCTTAAGTCGAATTTTGGGGGTGTCTGGCCAAAAAAAAAAAGTTTCGAAGTCATTTTTAATCGAATACTGGTCTTGCTAAGGTAGATCAGTTTCATAGCCACTCTTCTGCGAATGAAGTTATGGGAATTTGATGGCAAAGATGTTTCTCAAAAGCTGCTGTTAGTTCATATAAAAAACAAAGTGAAGCGAATCCAACAAAAAGGTTGAATGTTCATGAAAGACATTCAAAACCGATACTTCTGTAAGTCAGAAGAGGGGAAAACAAGAAGAGTGGATTGTAGCAAAAGTGGGTATTTGATACCAGAACACTGAGAATGAATTTCAAATGCATCTGCCACCCATTCGTAGAGCAGCTTCCATGGTCATCACCATCACCAATCCATTCCTACCTACTTACAATTCTCGCCTTCTTAGGTCCCTGTCGTTCTCGTCGTGTTCTTCATCCTCTTCTATTTGGTTTTCCGTTCTTCGCAGCGCCATTGCCACCTCCAACTTGCTACTTGGAAAGTGTGCACACGGACGTATGCTCAAATCAGACCAATGCCCGGATCGTTTTTTAATTAACAATCTCATCACCATGTACAACAAATGTGGGTCACTATTGTTAGCGCGTCGGCTGTTTGATATATCGCCTGAAAGAGACCTTGTTACCTGGAATGCCATTCTCGCTGCATATGCGGATACTGGACATGCTGAGCCTGAGAACATTCAAGAGGGGTTGTACCTTTTCCGCTTACTCCGCAACTCTGTCGTCTCAACTAGTCGTCATACTCTGGCCCCTGTGTTTAAAATGTGTCTGCTCTCAGGTTATTCCTGGGCTTCACAGGCTTTGCATGGGTATGCCATCAAGATTGGGCTAGAATGGGATGTGTTTGTTGCTGGGGCGTTGGTGAATATATACTCTAAATTTCAACAAATCAGAGAGGCCCGTCTCTTGTTTGACGGAATGCCTATAAGGGATGTTGTGTTGTGGAATGTCATGCTGAAGGCATATGTGGAAATGGGTTTTGTGAATGAGGCGCTGCTTCTCTTCTCCTCGTTTCATAGAAGTGGGTTGCGTCCTGATGGTATCACTGTCCGTACTCTTCTTATGGGCATAAGAAAAACTAAATTTGATAGGCAGTTAAGCCAGCTTCAGGGTTATATGACAAAGTTGTTTCTTTGTGATGATGATTCTGATGTTATCATGTGGAACAAGAAATTGTCCGTCTATTACCATGCAGGTGAAGCTTGGTTAGCTATTGATTGCTTTATAGATATGATTAGGTCAAAAGTAGCATATGATAGCCTGACATTTGTTGTGATTCTTTCTGTTGTTGCTGGTATAAACAATCTTGAATTAGGAAACAGATTCATGGCATGATTCTTAAGTCAGGGTTGGATCAGGTTGTATCTGTTGCAAATAGTCTTCTTAATACGTACGTAAAATCTGATTCTATATACAACGCAAAAAGAATATTCAATCAAATGAAAGAAGTGGATTTAATATCATGGAACACCATGATATCGGGTTGTGCTGTGAGTGGTGTAGCGGAGGAGTCCATAGGGATGCTTATTGATTTATTACGCAGTGGTCTAATGCCAGATCAATTCACCATTGCAAGTGTTTTGAGGGCTTGCTCCTCTCTCGAAGAGGGATTCTGTCTTGGCAAACAGATTCATGTTCATTCAATTAAAACTGGTATTAACATTGATTCCTTTGTTTCAACATCGCTGATTGATGTCTATTCTAAGAGTGGAATGATGGAGGATGCCGAGTTAATTTTTAAAGACAAAGATGAATTTGATTTGGCAACTTGGAATGTCATGATGTCTGGGTACATAATGAGCAACAACAATCACAAAGCTCTCAGGCTCTTCAGTCTGCTCCATAGTAGTGGAGAGAGGGCAGATGAAATTACCTTGGCAAATGCAGCCAAAGCCTCTGCCTGCTTGGTGGGGCTTGAACAAGGGAAGCAAATTCATGCTGTTGTTACAAAGAGGGGGTTCAATTTAGATTTGTATGTGATTAATGGTATTCTAGGCATGTATCTAAAGTGTGGAGATTTGGAATGTGCACAGAGAACCTTCAGTGAGATCCCTACACCTGATGATGTTGCATGGACTACTATGATTTCAGGATGTGTGGAAAATGGAGATGAGGAGCATGCTACTTTTATATACCGTCAGATGAGGCTTGCTGGGGTGCAGCCTGATGAGTATATGTTTGCCACGCTTATCAAGGCTAGTTCACTTTTGGCTGCACTGGAACAGGGGAAACAGATTCATGGTAATGTTATAAAGTTGAATTGTGCTTCAGATCCCTATGTCATGACTGCACTTGTTGACATGTATGCCAAGTGTGGGAACATAGAAGATGCATATGGCTTATTCAAAAGAATGAACATGAGGAGTATTGCCTTATGGAACGCAATGCTCGTAGGATTAGCTCAACATGGAAATGCTGAAGAAGCCCTCTGCCTCTTCAAAGAAATGAAATCTATGGGTGTGATGCCAGATAGAGTTACTTTTATTGGAGTGCTTTCTGCTTGTAGTCATTCTGGTTTAGTATCTGAAGCCTATGAAAATTTGTATTCCATGCAGAAAGATTATGGCATTGAGCCTGAGGTTGAACATTATTCTTGTCTTGTTGATGCCCTTAGCCGTGCAGGGCATATTCAAGAAGCTGAAAAGGTGATACTATCAATGCCCTTTAAAGCTTCTGCTTCGATGTATAGAACACTGCTTAATGCTTGTAGGGTGCAAGGAGACAAAGAGACAGGAAAACGTGTAGCTGAAAAGCTTTTTTCATTGGAGCCATCTGATTCAGCAGCTTATGTTCTTTTATCCAATATCTATGCAGCTGCTAACCAATGGGACAATGTGACCAGTGCTAGAAATATGATGAAAAATATTAATGTTAGGAAGGATCCAGGATTTAGTTGGGTAGATGTGAAGAACAAGGTGCATTTATTTGTAGCTGGTGATAGATCGCATGAAGAAGCTGATTTGATATATGATATGGTTGAGTATATGATAAAGAAGATCAGAGAAGGAGGATATGTTCCTGATACAGACTTTGTACTTGTTGATGTCGAAGAAGAGGAAAAAGAATGTGCTCTATATTATCATAGCGAGAAGCTAGCAATTGCTTATGGGCTCTTAAGCACTCCGCCATTGACCACCATAAGGGTTATAAAAAACCTCAGGGTGTGTGGAGATTGCCATAATGCAATCAAATATGTATCAAAGGTTTTTCAGCGAGATGTCATTGTGAGAGATGCAAATCGATTTCATCATTTCAGAAGTGGGGTCTGCTCTTGTGGTGACTACTGGTGATGATAGACTATCTCCGTACTAATTTTGTGAACTCAGTTCTTTTTGGCAACTTGCGTTGTAATGAATTCTGTTTCTGTATCTTTTGAGACAGGTAAAATTTCCTGTTCTTATGTTCTGATTCAATCACAAGTCCCATGCCAAAATTGAGTTTCAAATTTTAACTATAAGCCATTTAATTGATTTAAAGGTCTCCGCTGAGTTATTGAATTTTTTGTTTGAAGTGAAGTTTTGGTCTTTCTCCGATGATTTCAATTTTTAGAATTTCTATGTTTGAGAGTATTTGCTGTACAATATTGATTTCAATTCTTAGAATGAATTTGCGTGGGGCTTTAGATTTGTTTTGTTGTTGTGGGCCTCAGAGTTTTAAGATCTGCATTCCCTTTTTAACATTCTGTCTCTGGCCATGGTCTGTTAGTGGGAATGTATAATTTTCATTTGATTTGATCACACCAGTGAACCCTGTTTTCTATTCCTACTTTCACACTTTGCATCATGGTCATAAGAATCCTATTTATTTCTTGATTTTGCAACTGGTCTTGAGAAATTTCAGCATGAACTCATTTGTTTGGCTTACCTCTATATGTGTGTGTAGTAACTTTAAGGCTGTTTCTTTCCAGCATTTTTTAATTTCCAAGCGATGATCATAAGCCAAAGTTGATCTTTGATTTTGGAGGGTGGAAAATGAGATGCTAATGAGTGGAAATTGATTGATTATAAGGAGCTCAAACTATTGCCGTTTTAGATATATAATGGAGAATTACTTCTATGAATGGTATTTCTAAAGTTGTCACGCTTTGTTTTTTGGGCACCCGTGGTGGTCTAATGAAGTACACCTTCAGGTTTATGGTCATGGAAGCGTGATTTATCTTGTTTCTTATGTGATATATGAGTTCTGGATGTACTGGATAGTGTTATTCCATGCTTATATTTTGCTTTTGGAAACAGAAGACAGACCTGTGCGTCTGCATATCTTAGCATAAAGAATATGAATTGAAGTTGGAGGACGATGTTCTGAATAGAGTTGGGAATTGATAGTAGTTTTCTATTGGGCCATGGGAAATTGATAGTTTTCTTGTATGTTTTTGGTTAATTAGCAGCCATGTTTCTCCAGCTGGATTTCATCTGATTGTATAACAATGTGTGATACAAGTCCCTTACTAATGACGCATCAGTATGACATGGGTAAATCTTGATACATGAGCTGAGTCATTGAATAATTAGAAACATGTAGTAGTTGGTTTCTTTTACACAAGTGTCTTTGGTGTATTGTTTTTGCTTAGAAGAACGATGCTGCTTTAGTAATGTGATCCTTGTCATCTTCAAACAGTTTCAGTTCAAGGCAATTGAAATCCTTTGGATGTTTATTTTACGAGTATCTAAATCCAGTCATGATGGTACTTGAGCTGTGGACTTATGGAATTATTACTGGCTATCATCTTATCTGGATGTGTGAGCAAAACCCGTCTTGTTAAGGATTACTGCAAAGAACACAGGGAAGTTAAAAGAAACCACGGCAAACAGGTGAATGCAATAGGGTCCATTTTTTGTCAATTTACCTCTAGTAGTTGTGCTTGAATGGATGTTACTTGGCAGCAGACAAACAGATGCGTCCACGTAGAATATTGCATGCATTAGGTGATGTATACTCAACAAGATCTCCTCTCTCTCTCTCTACACACACACACATCTTTCTCCATACGTATAAGAAACAGATCTCAGTGTTTGAATGGGTGCGCATCTTTCACCCCTGTATTTTTGTTTTTTTTTTTTAAATGTTCAAGCTCTGTTAGGAGCTTGTCATGTGGGATCTGGATCCTCTGCTGCAGATAGACCATTTTGTTAGAGAGAAAACTGAACAAGGAAATAGGTGGAATTCACATGTTAGTAGATTTCATCCACTCTCTATCTCTCTGATAGGATGATCCATCTGCGAGAGATAGTTATAGGCATGATAATATTGGTGTTCCGATTGCTCAGTCAAGGGACAGTTTCTTGGAATTGATGCTAATCCTCAAGTCCATTGATTCTTCGTAGACCATGACATAAAACATATACAAAAAAGAAAAAGATAGAGCCTTTCTTAATGAAAATAAATCATGTTAAGAGCTGCCGTTTGGTCCTGATCAATAATATCAAATACCATATAGTTATAAGAAAACAAAAACATATCTAACACATCTTTGTATACCAATAATAATAAAATAAATAAAAAATACGTTTTACATGAATAAATAAAACAGGAAAAACAAACCCTTGACATTTTTTCAAGGGAAACATATCATCCCCGGGCTCAAATTCCTAAATTTAGCCCCCCATGCAAATGCAAATTTACAAAAGAAATCCAGAAAGATCCATTCAGTTCAGAAAAACAAGACAAGAATCGTCTCATTCTTCCGCAACGAATCTCAATTTAGTTTTTGACAAAAAATAAACAGAATCTCAATTCTGTTAAACTCCCCAAGAGCTTCTTCACCTGTCATTGACTGGCAGAAGACCTGGTGCTTTTAGGTTTCAGCTTCTGCAATTTATTATATCTCTTTTAGTGCTCTTTTTGGTTTGCTTATTATTCACTCTTCCTTACTTTTCTGCTTGATCAGGATTCTGAAACTCAAGAAAAGAAGGATTAAATTTGTGGCTTTGGTGCTGATCACTTAATATTTGTCTCTCTCATACCATCTTCTGGTACCAGCAATGGAGTAGCAAATGTCATGTGTTCAGTCGAGGTTGAGTTTATCAGCAACATAAGAAGGTATTTCAGTCATTCTGAACTTCATTCCATCTCCTGAACCATAGCTTCCTTCATTAGCAGAGGGTATTGCCTTTCTTTTAGATGAGGCAATCAACTTTCTGTCGAGGAATGCTTTAAAGGATGAAGGGGTTTTCCACAAGAGTGGAATTTTTGTTCCCTTTTCACAGACAGAAGATCTGGTAACTGGCCAAGCTCTTACTTTAATTAGCTGCTCTTCCACAAGTTCAGTTGTTCGAGTTTGAATGAGAAGATGTTTTTCAAAAGGTATTGCTAATTCATCTGAAGAAGAAGTGATGTAAAAATCAGCGAGAAGGTTGAATGAAGTTGAAAGACATTCAATGCCCAAACTTCTCCATGTCATAAGGGGAATAAAAAAACAGCGAGAGTGGATTGTAGCAAAAGTTGATGTTTAATGCTAAGGGAACACGGGGAATGAATTTCAAATGCATCTGCCACCCATTCATAGAGCAGTTTCCATTGTCATCACCATCACCAATCCCTTCCTACCCGCTTACAAGTCTGGCCTTCTTAGGTCCTTGCCATTCTCGTCATGTTCTTCATCCTCTTCTATTTGGTTTTCCGTTCTTCGCAGCGCCATTGCCACCCCCAACTTGCTACTTGGAAAGTGTGCACATGCATGTATACTCAAATCAAAACAATGCCCCGATCGTTTTTTAATCAACAATCTCATCACCATGTACAACAAATGTGGGTCACTACTGTTAGCACGACAGCTATTTGATATATCACCTGAAAGAGACCTTGTTACCTGGAATGCCATTCTCACTGCATATGCTGATGGTGGGTATGCTGAGCCTGAAAATATACAAGAGGGGTTTTACCTTTTCCGCCTACTCCGCAATTCTGTTGTCTTGACTAGTCGCCATACTCTGGCCCCCGTGTTAAAGATGTGTCTGCTTTCAGGTTATTCCTGGGCTTCTGAAGCTGTGCATGGGTATGCTGTCAAGATTGGACTAGAATGGGATGTGTTTGTTGCTGGGGCTTTGGTTAATATATACTCTAAATTTCAACAAATCAGAGAAGCCCGTATCTTGTTTGACAGGATGCCTATAAGGGATGTTGTGTTGTGGAACGTCATGCTGAAGGCATGTGTGGAAACGGGTCTTGTGAATGAGGCGCTGCTTCTCTTCTCCTCGTTTCATAGAAGTGGGCTGCATCCTGATCGTATCACTGTCCGTACTCTACTTATGGGCATTAGAAAAACTAAATGTGAAAGGCAGCTAAGTCAGCTTCAGGGTTATATGACAAAGTTGTTTCCTTGTGATGATGATTCTGATGTTATCATGTGGAACAAGAAATTGTCCGACTATCACCAAGCAGGTGAAGCTTGGTTAGCTATTGATTGCTTTATAGACATGTTTAGATCAAGAGTAGCATATAACAGCCTGACATTTGTTGTGATTCTTTCTGTTGTTGCAAGTATAAACCGTCTTCAATTGGGAAAACAGATTCATGGCATGGTTGTTAAGTCAGGATTGGATCAAGTTGTATCTGTTGCGAATAGTCTTCTCAGTATGTACATAAAATCAGATTCTATATACAACGCAAAAAGAATGTTCAATCAAATGAAAGAAGTGGATTTAATATCATGGAACACCATGATATCGGGTTGTGCTGTGAGTGGTGTAGCGGAGGAGTCCATAGGGATGCTTATTGATTTATTACGCAGTGGTCTAATGCCAGATCAATTCACCATTGCAAGTGTTTTGAGGGCTTGCTCCTCTCTCGAAGAGGGATTCTGTCTTGGCAAACAGATTCATGTTCATTCAATTAAAACTGGTATTAACATTGATTCCTTTGTTTCAACATCGCTGATTGATGTCTATTCTAAGAGTGGAATGATGGAGGATGCCGAATTAATTTTTGAAAACCAAGATGAATTTGATTTGGCAACTTGGAATGCCATGATGTCTGGGTACATAATGAGCAGCAACAATCACAAAGCTCTCAGGATCTTCAGTCTGCTCCATAATAGTGGAGAGAGGCCAGATGAAATGACCATGGCAAATGCAGCCAAAACCTCTGCCTGCTTGGTGGGGCTTGAACAAGGGAAGCAAATTCATGCTGTTGTTATAAAAAGGGGGTTCAATGTAGATTTGTTAGTCATTAATGGTATTCTAGGCATGTATCTAAAGTGTGGAGAATTGGAATGTGCACAGCGAACCTTCAATGAGATCCCTACACCTGACGATGTTGCATGGACTACTATGATTTCAGGATGTGTGGAAAATGGAGCTGAGGAACATGCTACTTTTACATTCCGTCAGATGAGGCTTGCTGGAGTGCAGCCTGATGAGTATATGTTTGCTGCGCTTATCAAAGCTAGTTCACTTTTGACTTCACTGGAACAGGGGAAACAGATTCATGGTAATGTTATAAAGTTGAATTGTGCTTCAGATCCCTATGTCATGACTGCACTTGTTGACATGTATGCCAAGTGTGGGAACATAGAAGATGCATATGGGTTGTTCAAAAGAATGAATATGAGGAGTATTGCCCTATGGAATGCAATGTTGGCAGGATTTGCTCAACATGGAAATGCTGAAGAGGCCCTCTGCCTTTTCAAACAAATGAAATCTAGGGGCGTAACGCCAGATGGAGTTACTTTTATTGGAGTGCTTGCTGCTTGTAGTCATTCTTGTTTAGTATCAGAAGCCTGTGAACATTTTTATTCCATGCAACTTGACTATGGCATTGAGCCTGAGGTTGAACATTATTTTTACCTTGTTGATGCCCTTAGCCGTGCAGGGCATATTCAAGAAGCTGAAAAGGTGATACTATCAATGCCCTCTGAAGTGTCTGCTTCAATGTATAGAACACTGCTTAATGCTTGTAGGGTGCAAGGAGACAAAGTGACCGGTGAGCGTGTGGCTGAAAAACTATTCTTGTTAGAGCCATCTGATTCAGTAGCATATGTTCTTTTATCCCATATCTATGCCGCTGCTAACCAATGGGACAGTGCGACAAGTGCTAGAAATATGATGAAACAGACCAATGTCAAGAAGGATGCAGGACTTAGTTGGGTTGATGTGAAGAATATATGCAGAAGATGATTTGATATATGATATGTGTGAGTACTTGAAAAAGAAGATCAGGGAATGGGGGTTTGTTCCTGATGCAGACTCTGTCGTTGTTTAAAAGGATGTGCGCTATATTACGGTGAGAAGCTTGCAATTGCTTCTGGGCTCATTTGCACTGTGCCTCCACCACCGTAACAGTCATTAAGATGCCTCAGAGTGTGTAGGTGTAGGGATTGTAATAATGAAATTATACTCCTCCGGTCCTTAATATAAGACCCATTTAACTAATTTGATTAGATTAAGGAAGTTAGGTAAGTTAGTTAATTATAAGAAAAGTGACATTTTTCCTAAAACACCATAATCATCTTTCTTAATACCTCCTCTCCTTCTTCTACTTGATTATGGTTGAAGGAATATCCATAGGGGTAATTTAGAAAAAATTGATAAATATGATAAATGGGTCTTATATTTAGGACCAAAACCAACTCAAAAATTGAATCCTATATTAAGGACCGGAGGAGTATATGTATTACTAAATGGAACTACAAAACGAAATGTGTTTAATTCGTGTTTTCTTGTATTTGATTTTTTGTTTAAGATTTTAACACAGATTAAGACACTATGTTAAACGCTGTTAACATGCTTGAATTTTTTTAGAAGTTTTTAATGTGTTCTGAATTCATTTTTCTATTGTCTCTATGATTATTTTACCTATGGCAACAAGGTTTAGTTTAAACAAAATAAATCAAAGAAGCTTACCAAAAAAAAAATTAAAGAAACCTAGCTGAAAATTGAGGTACACGAATTAATTTTTCAAAATAAAATCAAAAAGTGGCGGAAACGTTGGGAGGGAAGCCGAGTTTTGTCGTAGGCTCACTTGGGACTGGACACAGGCGCTCGGCTCTCTTTTTTCCGCGCAAATGGTAAGATCACTGTACAGCCAAAAACCACTTCAATTCTTTGATGTTTGATACCAAATATTGAGGTTCACATCCGAATAGTAATGAGTACTGTGAAAAATCAACTTCATGCTGCATTTATTTGCTTATTGCTTCGGTATTTAAGTTGTATCTGTCATCTAAATTCGTACGATCGGTAGCGAAGCATAGGAGATTGGTTGTTTTAGTTCAGATATGAGAACCGTACACAAAAAATTTATTATATTAGTTGAGTTTGTTTTTTCGCGTCTCTTTCATAATTTTTCCCTCCTTTTTAATCCGAGTGCTGCAAAGTTGGATACCGTTGCGAGGCATTTTTTCAGATACCGGTTATATAATTAGAGTGCATGGAATGTTAGCGTCATTTTAATCATTATAGCAGTCTTGAAGAGAAGATGAATTAGATTTACTTTGGAAAATCAGAACCAGCTGATGGGTCGGTAATAGAGTGGCTATTGTTTCGTGGTATTGTGGTAAAGATCGTTGTTGTGTTGATGCTCCGCCTGCCCTGGACTTGATATATATAGGTTTATGAGAAGTATTCGTAATTTTCTTGTGCAATCATATACTCCTGCATATAGTTGGGAATAGCAGCCAGTATGTTTTGATTGGATCTTACAGGAAAAAGTAAATTGTAAGAGTAATGTTGATGCATTTTAGGTTAAGGTGCAAATTTGTCTTGGAAGTTTTTACTCAAGAGTTTTGGATATCTGGAAGTTTTTTTGGGAGTAAATTTGTCTCAAAAATTTAAAATTATAGCAATATTACACCCTACTATCAAAAAACTAATGCTTATTGATAAAATAGTAATGCTAACCGTTAACATTTTTAATGGTACAGGGCAATGTTGTTACAATTTTAAACTTTTAAAACAAACTTGCTCTCAAAACAATTCCATATACCTAACATTCCTATGTGAAAACTTGCGGAATAAATTTGCACCTTAGCTCTTTTTTTCTATAATCTATTTCATTGATGGTATTGCTGAGTGTAGATCTGAACATTTAGATTTTCTATGTCTTGTGATCTATGTTAAGGCTAAAGAGAGGTTTCATTTTTTTCTATATTCATAGGCATTTAATCAAACTAATGGACTTGCTGAACGGCTTGATCTAGTTTGTTTGTAATTATATTATTAAATAAATAAGGATAAAAAAAAATTATGTACCAGATTAATAGATTATCAAAAGGAAAGTAAAAGGATACTTGTTCATTATGTTCATAAATGACCTATTTATAAATTTTCTAGTAATCATTCCTTACTGGCTCAAAAACTTGGTGAGAACTTCACTCGTGGATACTTCATACTTTGTATGTCATGCTTAAGTTTGTTTTATCTGGTTCATAGCAAGTAGCAACACCACCCCCCCGGGGGAAAAAAACAAAAAACAAGAAAAAAAATCCCCCATAAAGGAAGCTACAGTGGTTACTTATTCTAGCCATCTAACTTATCACTCGCCTAATAGTGACTACTAATTTATTTTAAGTAACAACTACCTACCCCTAAGAGGAACTTTACCGTAGGATAACATAGCCAGAAAATCGTTATCAGAAGAAGGGTAAAGATTTGCCGGTTGCATCTTTGCAGCAGGCTATGCTTCAGAACCGTTTATTAAAAATTTAGCACGTGCTGGAAATTTTCTCATGAACATCCATTGTTGTTTCAGTGAATCCTTGCAATGTTTATTTTGTCCTCTTCCCCCTCACTATGCACGAAGGCTTGACTCATGATCAAAGGTTTCTCTGGTGTTCGAGAAAGAATGGAATCAAGGGTATCTATATCTACAAAGGTCGAGGGCTTATCATGTATTTGGAAGGGTTTTGGGTGCGAAGTATTAGAAACAGGATTTTGAAATTAATAGAAGAGTAAGCGAAAGAATCCTCGTATAAGGCATAACGGTAGCTTCTTGCTATCTTACAAAATATATGGTATTAACTAAACCTTTTGGTCCAAACATCCTCACAGTTTATAGCTATCTCTTCCGTCAACTCCACTTGAGAAAGTAGCCCCTCCAAATTTTTCCTGTTATTTGAAGCAAGTAACATGCACATTGTTGCAGACTTCGTAGAAAAGGGATTCTCGTGTTGATGGATTCTCATGACTTATTAAGATATAAGGTTAACGTTGGGATTCTTTCTTTTTGGAGTCAGGATTCCCATAAAAGCGTGTTGTGGTCAATTAACGTGTATCTGGTTGCCTCTTTGCGAGATGGGGTAGACTAGCAAATATTACCCAAAGATGTATTTCATTTTCTTTTACCAGCGCATGGTAAGCATATTATATCCGTTGGGATGGTTATTATCTGAACAGTGAATATCAAACAAGTAAATTACCAAACAGCTGAGGCATTTTATGTTCAAAGCCAGATTTGTCTGTTCTTAATCCACTTAAGAATTTTGTTTAAAAGAGAGAGAGAGAGAGAGAGATGAAGGCCATTTTTGTTCTGTAGCAAGTAGTAGCCCATCCACTAGCATGCATTTAAATGAACTAGAAGCAATTACATCTCTATCATTGTTTTTGAGAGTGGGAAGCATCTAGTAACGTGTGTGCTGTTGTTATATGGCATTATACTGCGGTATCTCACTGTTACGTTTTTTTCTGGCAGGATGGACATGATATTGAACACGCAAGACGGAGCCCTGCTGTTATGACAGCTTTTGTAAATACGTAAAAAACTTACTTATCAATTTTATTCTCTTTACAATAGATAAAGAAAGAAGAGTTGCAAGCAGCGAAAAAAAGCGTTGTGCTTTTTAAATCTGTGTCCGCTGAAAGAAGAAAGAAGCCTCTTCTACTTTAGCGTCTAAAATTTTTCCATGGTCTAACTATATATAGATAAGTTGCGTTCTATATCTTATGAGGAACTTATTGCACTATCTTTCTTAATTGAGTTTCTGCTCCTTGCAGGTGCAAAATCTTCTTCAGCAGATGGTAAATCTGTAGCTGAAAGAAAATGTGAAAATTGTCCTTTTTGCATACTTGAGATTAGGGTTTTAAGGTTTTAATGTGCTCCATTTCTTACTTGAAATGCAACAAAACAGGTTCCAGACGATGTCAAACTCCATCGTCTCAAAGGATATCCTTCCTATGATTCCAATCCAAGATTGGTATGTTTCGCTTTTTTTTTTTGGAGGGGGGTTTTGGTGGTGTTGGTTGCGTCAGTCAGATTACATATTTTGTCTTTCATGAGACGCAATTATTTTATCTCACTGTCTGGCCTTGCTACGTCTACAGTTAGATTCTATGTCGTAATATTTTTGTTCTGGTTAGCCCTGGCATAACCTGCTTCTACCCCTTTCCAACGGTAGTCTTTTTCCCTGTGGAAGGTTAGAGTTTTAGGGGGTTGGGACTGGAATTTTCTTTACAAAGGTTCACCATGATTTTGTTTTTCATTTCCACAGCAAAATAACAAGTTCATGGTAAGTCGTTTCTCGCCATATTTTCTTTTCATACACGTATAAATGTTTGCCATCTCATTTTAGACTTCGAGGTATTTCAACAAATATCATTGCTTATATGGAGATTAATAAAATGAATATAGTTTTGATCAATGATTCCTTAACTCTGATGCACTTGATGAGATGGGGGGCAGGATAAACGACCTAGAGCAGAGCATCAAAGAACTCAGAGCTGAAATGGGAATGGAAGGCTCACTGTCTTCTTCAGTTCCTACAAGGGAGAAGTCCCCCTTGAGAGAGTTTAATCTCAAGGAAAAGAACAGCTGAACGTGACAGAGGTTGGTGATAGCGGTTGGTAGTGGTTCACATCAAATCATGATATGTTTTGTTTTTGCCCCCTCTCCTTCACAGCCTCTCGAGGATTAATCCATATATATTATTATCTTAACCATGCCTTTTTCCTTGTTCACGGAAAACTAAAGTGCTGGAATCTCACCATACCATAAATTATCTGCACCATAAAGAACTTGCAAAATTCAAAACTTCCTAGAAACTGAGACTTTCCTCTCATCCGTATTGTTGACATCTAAATAATATAATCATGATCTTTGACAGCTGGGCAGGGTCTCTTAAACTATATGTATCGGTATTCTGATTTGTGGACCCATTGCATTAAAAAAAAAAAAAAGGGCATCATATATTATTGTCTTGGTTATTATTATCTGTGAATCCAGCCTCAGCATCGCATGCTAGTGCCAGCCAAGTAAGTATATATTAAATTTGAAATTGAAATACGTGAAGGTGTGAATGTGGAATAAAGAGGAAGGTTCCTTTGATTAGGGCAATTCGGTGGTGATGGAGAAGATGATGATCGTTGTAAGGAAGACAAGAGGACAAAGGGCTGTGAGGTGGATTTTGGTTGGCACTAAAAAAAAAAGTGCGAAGATGCCGTAATAATAGTGGGAGAAGCGCGTTCACTGATTTTGATTGATGCACATAATAATGCATGTGAGGCTGCCTTTTAATGGAAGATAAGAATAGCATTTATCAAAAAGAAAACTTATGAGAGTGATGTTTATAAAAAGCAGTTTTTTCTGTGACTCACCAAAATAAAAATAAAAAAAGTGATTTTCTTTTTTGTTTTAAAAAGGTTTTTTAATTGAAAGTAGACAGTACAGGGATTAGCGTGTCATGTAATTATGTGATCACTAACTGAACCTAATTGTTGCGTATTTGTATATGATGACTGAACTACCGACGAAAGCCTTATGTAATTAATTCTTTTTAATGGATAATATTAAGACAGGCAGTCGTACTTTGTGGCTGGGAACAGTAAGTGAATTTTTTTTAAAAAAAATCAACAATAATTATTTTATCCTCATCATTAAATTAAAAATACGGAGAATCATTGACAGACGTGTCAAGAAATTGTCTTTTTTTTAAAAAGAAAAAGTATTCCTTCGGGTGAAAAGAATTATTGAAAAAGAATAGAAAACTGAAATTACAAGATGGGCCTCACATCACGCCTTTTTTTCCCGGAAGCTCCTCAATTTCAACGAAAGGAAAAAAGGACTGTCCTTGACTGTTGAGAGAAGAAAACGTAACAGTGAAAAGCAAAACCAAAAAGAGTTCCATTTTTATTACCATTCCCGCTTTCATCACCATCCAAACCTCCAGAAAACCATCCCATCATTTCACAATTCACACTCCATTCATTTGCCTTTCCAAAAGAAAAAAAAAAATACTTTTCAAATAACCATCACAATGGTTCTTGACATAATCCTCCAGTAATTTTCCCAGAAATGTAAGGAAAAAAACAGGGTGGAGGAGGAGGAGGAGGAGGAAAAAACACCACAAACATCTAAATCAGATCAATCTCATTAGGGGAAGAACTAGGAAAAAATAATGTATGAAGAGATATAGCCATAGGGAAGAAGAAACAGAAGAAACGCAAGCAACATGTGATAAATGATCAGAATAATACAAACAATTTGGACATATGCGCACAATTTACCAAGAAAACAAGAATGTGTACCTAAATTACAATACATCCATCACCAGATTTTATTCAATCTCTCTACTTCCCTCCTACTTGTATATAGCAGCAGACTTCTTCCCAATAAACTCATCAGGTAAAAATTAAATAAAATAAAATAAAGTTAAATAAAGAAGGAAAATCAGGAAGAACAGATAAAGAATTTCAACCCCTGCATCGAGTGATTCTGCTGCATCCGCGACGGTAGGGATTCGCCTGAGCACCGGGCCGGCAATTGTAGTAGGAAGCACCACGTCTCGAGCAGGGTACAGTGTTCCTCCTCAGCGCACCGTAGCTTATGTACCTACGTCCTGCCAGAATGCGGCGGTTTGTCTCCGAGTCCATCTCGAACTCCGACCCGAACAACCCGTCCTCAGAAAGCAGACACTCCCCGATAGATCCGCGACACTCCGATTTCATCGGGAAGAAGCCGATTTCGTTGTCGCCGATGAAATCGACGGTGGTTGATGATGAAAGAGACACGTGTACGGCTAAGATCGCGCACAGCACGAAGAAACCATAGAAGCCTGATGAGCTCCCCATTTTTTCTCTCTGGTTCTTCAGTTCGGCAACAGTAGAGGGGAGATTGGGGCCTTCCAGACTATATGAGACCGTTGATGTAAAAATACCTCTACTTTTGAGAATAATTACGAACGCTGCCACCATCTTTAAGGAAAATTAGATCTAAGGGCCAAAACGTTAGACTATTTAAATTACAACAACGATTTGCCCTGAAATTTTGTGGAAGTTTTTATAAAATCTGTTTAAAAATATTATAATTACATAAAATTATTAATAATTTTAATATTAAAAATTAATTTCGATTTTCATTTTGATTTTTTAACAAATCGCGTATCTCAGGGTAATTGTCTCTTTCTTTAACTTTGTGTTTGCTTTGCTTGTGATTTAAGTATGTCGCTCCTTTTTGCGGACAGCACCCAGTAAATAATAATGTTTCAATTGATTTATATTTATCTATGTTTATTTAATTTATATATGTTTCCGTGATAATTGATTTAATTTTGTTACTCGAAATCATAGATAAATTATTGGACAACAATTAGAAGTTTTTGCTAATTCATTATCGTAATTTAATTCAACTATTCGCTTCGGACTTTATTATAAAAAATTGTTATAAAAATTTGCCTAAAAATATTATATTCGCTTCTGTCGTCATTATAAAAATTTGCTGTGTATTTTTTCTTAAGAATTAATTTCATCAGCCTTATATTTTTAATAAATAATAAAATTTTGTAATTAATTAGTGAAAATTCTCTAACTAATAATTTTATTAAAAATAATTTATAATCAAAAATAATTTTTAAAAAATAGTAAATTGAAATTTGTAAATAAAAACGGAGGAAATATTAAATAGAACGTGACGGCGACCAAGGCATCGATATCACCATTAAGCCAGTTGGAAGCCACCCAATGAGTGATAATGATTTTTGGCTGTCGATATACTAATTTAAATTGATGGCAAAAAAAAAAACAAATAATGGTTTAAATTAGCTAACGAGCAGTCTAGAAATAATTTTAGTAACAATCAAGATCCGGTTTTAAATCAAAATATATGTAATTCAGTAATTATAAAATTTTCTACTACAAGCGAATTTGTGCAACATTTGGGGATAGTTATTGTATAATTATTTTCAAATTAAAATTTTAATTTAAGCATCTCATTAAAAAACAAGATGCCAATAAACATTTTTCTGAAAAAATTGTTTTATCGACTAAAAGAATTTTCCGAGCGTTTCCTTTGAAGTTCTTCTTCTTCTTCTTCTTTGGTTCTTTCATAAAATTGAAGAACTGTTGCATTTTAAAGAGACAAAGCATACTTCCATGATATTTGATTGTCCAGTGCTTTATGCCTAACCATTCAATAAAGAAAAGAAGGTGAGACAAAGTTTTTTTAATTAGTCAATATTTTAAATTATTCGTCTTTCTTTATCTGATGTCTTTTTTAAGGGAATCTATGCAATGTGTACAACAAGAGTTTTTTTTTTCGGTTGTTCCTTAGCTGTGAATGTGTTATACTCTTCCGGTCCTAAATATAAGACCCTTATACTAATGTGTATAAGGGTCTTATATTTAGGACTGGAGAAGCATGTATTGATTATTTGATTAGCTATAAATAGTTGGTCGAGGTATTATTATAATTTTCATATTAAAGGACCTATGTTCTTTTCACTTTGATTATAATTATGTAATAGATATTATTAAATTAAATTGGAGCATTACTATACTTAATTATGAGGAAGAGTTGGTGTGGAATTTATTAAAGCAAAAAATAGTAAAGAATAGTTTGAGGTTGTCCCAACATATGCAAAGCGATGATAAGGATAGATCAAATAGCATAAAACATTATAAAAAGAGGTTAAAGAACACTTTAAAAAAGCACTCATCAAAGTTATTGTTAAAGACGTTTGGATAGTAATTTATTTAAATTTTTTTGTTGTTGCCCAAAGTATCTTCTCACTTGAACGGTAAAAGACTAATCTTTCGGAGTATTATCAAACACGGTAGCAGGGACCCCTCCTAATAGTATTTTTTTTCATACATACTGCTCTAATAATCGAACACAGCACATGATGTTTTATTCAAACTTTTAGTTATTGATAAAATACAATAACTATGTATGGTCTATTTAGCAAACCCGGGTAAGGTTTATTATTATTGATAATGTATACAGTATAAATTCTCAATCTTATTTAAAAAGAATCTAACAACACTGTACAAAATCAATTTCATGAAATGAAAAATTAGGCTGACTATGTGAATGTTTGGATGTGCTTATCATAAGCATCTTTATATAAATCGAAACAAAACTGCCCTCGCATGCTTGGGGTAGTATACTGTAAATTATAATTAAAAAAAATATTTTTAAAAGCTTGAACCTTCGTTCCGGATCAACCTCCAATAAGCGTGAAGAGAGAGGGAACGAATAATATAAAAATTTGGAGCCATTGAATGAGAAGGCTATGGCAATGGTGCATGATTAGGGTGTTGACAGGAGAGAGGGACATGAATGAATGTGAAGATTGGAATTTCAATGCCATGGCTGCAATGGCACCAACAATTTTCAATGGCCCTCTGAAAACGACACCAACTTTGAGTTTGGATTATTTTTAATTCTTCATATTAAAAATAGATGGACACATAACAATAGATTCCATCTATTTATGTGTGGGTCTCACAAAGGCTTCATTGTATTTGTATTCTTCTCTCTTTTTAATCCGGCAATTAAGCTAATTGCAAGCCCTAAGTCTAGTCTAGACACTCCAGTCCCATCAATATTTTTCACCCAACATATAATACAGAGGTTTTATGGGAGAATTTTATTATAAGACCTTAGAATCAGGATAAAAGAATCGTAAAATTGCACTGCAAGCTCCAGACAAAACTAAAATTATGTTTTAATGTTTAATGATCAAAATGTACTGACATAAAACCCCTCTTACATTTACCACATATATTGTATAATCAGCAAGCCATTAACATTTCTTAACAATATAATACAAAGTGTTATATATAAAATAAACCAAATTTCAAAATCAAGTTTGAATGAATTTGTTGTATTAGTTACGCTTCCTTATTAATTGGTCTGTGAAAAAAAAATGTTAATAGGACCTTTATTTTGCAGACAAGTTTTGATCATAGTGGGCTTTACTTTTGCATCTACCTCTTTTAATATTTTATCTCAAGTCGCTGTGGGAATCAATGTAATATTACAGGGTACACATGAGGACACCTGCGCATAGTTGCACAAAAAAGAAGTACTTAATATAATATCTTATTTGATTTTTATTTTAGTCTTAAATATAAGACTTCAATCTACTTTATCTCTCATATTTATCATTTTTTTTCAAGATAGTCCTCTAATAATGGTAATTCTAGATAACAAACTTGATTAGTAAGGATATTTTAAGAAAAACAACACTTATTCATTACAAATAACTAACTTAACTAAGTTTCTTAATCTCCCCAAATTAGTCAACTGGGTCTTATAATTAGGACCGGAGGTAGTATAAAATTATTACTTCGTATTTTGTTCAATTAAAACTAAAAATTCTCACCTCCATTTCAAAATGTTGAATAACTTATTTACATAAATACAGAAAAATATGTTATACTCCTTCGATCCTTAATATAGAACCCAATTATTGAGTTAGTTTTGGTTCTAAATATATGATTAATTTCTCATATTTATCAATTTTCTCTAAATTACCCCTATAGATACTTCTTCAACCATAATCAGGTAGAAGAGAAAGATAAGGTATTAAAAAAGATGATTATGGTATTTTAGGAAAAACGTGTCACATTTTTTATAATTAACTAATTTACCTAATTTCTTTAATTTAATTAAATTAGTTAAATAGGTCTTATATTAAGGACCGGACGACTATTATACTACCTTCAGTCCTAATTATAAGAGCCAGTTAACTAATTTGAGGAGATTAAGGAAGTAAGTTGAGTTAGTTACTTGTTCTAAATAGGTATTGTCTTTCCTAAAATATCTTTACTAATCAAGTGTATTGACTAGAACTATCATTGTTAGAAGGGCTACTTTAAAAAAGTGTATCAATATAAGAGATAAAGTGGATTGAAATCTTATATTTAGAATCAAAATAAAAATTAAATAGGATTTTAATTAAGGTAGTATTAATATATTGTGCAGATATGTAAATACAACAAGAGTTCCCCTGCGTTTACGGCTAACAGTGTTTTTTATCCCCCCATAAAAAAGAAGATTGCCAATGGACTGTGATTATAAATTATTTTCTTCGATCCAACTACTTTGGGCCTCATATGGGCTGCGGTTGCCAAGGTCCAGACAACAATTATAAATATTTGGGCTTCATAAGAAGGACGTCAAGCCCGGCCCATTATGAGTGAAACTAGGTTTTTCTCTTTTATATCAGTCGTCTTCTTCTCCGGCCCCGCCTCAGTCAGACTAGCTCTCCAGTTCGGCGCTTCCTTCGGTACGCTCTCTCTCTCGCTCTCCCCCGGCTTATCTCGTTTGTTCGCTGTTGAGCTTTCCTGTTCGTATATCTCAATTTCGCAATTTTTCTTGTCCTTCTTCCGGGGATTCGCCGATTAGGGGAACGATCTTTGACAATCGCCAGACTAGGAAGAACGCGGCTTTTTTCATAGTTTTTCTTCATTGGTAGCGGGTGAATTTTTTCCCGAAATATATCTGGGATGTGTGAATAACCTGTTTGAACAAATTTGATGTGTTATGTTCGAGTCATCAATATGCTGGGATGTGTGTATACATTGGACCTCCTTTAATCTGCTATTTAATGTTCGGGGTTAATTTTCTCTTGGAAGTCTCAGTTATGAAAACAATTATAAACGCGGCCTTTTCATGGGCTGGACATTTGCTTTGTTAACAGTGTGGCTCTTACATTTTCTTCTGAATGCGGTTGTTTTTCTAGATTTTCAACAGAGAAGGTTAGGCAATATCATAAAAGATGCAGAACGAGGAAGGTCAAATCACGGAGCTTTACATCCCAAGAAAATGGTATGCGTCTAAATTTGCTCAAGATTTTTGGATTTTGTGTCTTGACTGTTCTTGGTGGAGTTTGAACTTATGTACTGCATTATGCAGCTCCGCAACAAACAGACTGATCACTGCTAAGGATCATGCTTCTGTTCAGATTAACATTGGGCATTTGGATGAGAACGGCATCTATAGTGGCAATTTTTCTACATTTGCCCTATGTGGTTTTATTCGTGCACAGGTCTGTTTGCTTTATATGATCACTTTCCTACTTATATGTTATTGTATTGCAGTGTATTATTATATTACCAGGTTTTTATCTGTGTCCTCAGCGAAAGTAATGTGTTTTTGAAAGAAGTGGACCATATTTTGAGTTGAAGTCATAGTGATATCTATACCACATTCCTTCCTTGTATTAAATTTGCTGCTTCTTGTATGCATATATATTGGTATGTTGCTTTTGTTTGCAGCGCAGTATATTGAACGATCTATCAAAGAATTATGTTAGGGCTTGTTTCTGTCTGCTGGCTTCCTTATTGTTTTACATTTACTCGTGGAGAGATTGAGAGTTAGGTTGTGATCTCTGATTGACTTGTCGGATAGCTAAGTATATCTCAAGGTTCTACCTTGGCTATATTACTTGAGAAATGCTATGCAGCAGAAACCCTTGTTTAACATGATACTATGATTCTGATGTTTAGTCGGCAAGCATAAGGTTCTACCTAGGCTATATTATTGAAGAAATGCTATGCAGTAGAAATTCAAGTGTAACATGATACTATGGTTCTGATATTTAAGCGGCAAGCATAAGGTGTTCATGCTTTTAATTAGAATCTTCGATTTGCATTTCCAGGGAGATGCTGACAGTGCATTAGATCGATTGTGGCAGAAGAAGAGAGCCGAAGTCAAGCAACAATAGATGACGAAGCTAGTTTTACCCCCCTAAAATTGCGAGTTTATATTTTTTAGCTATGAATTTTGTGGCACTTGTTTTGTTCCTATGGTACCTTTTAAGAGAAGTTTCCTTTTGACTTATGAATTATTGACGGATTTTTGTGCGCTTCCTCTAGTTCTTGATTTTCCCTTTTACATTGCCCTAGCTGGTCCTGTTTATGGTCTATCTGGAATGCAATATTTTGGGACAGACAGGACAAGGTATTGGTTGGCTCGGCAGAAATAGCTAGTTGAGTAAAAGGAAGTCCGAGGTCTCTGCTTAAGCTGCTACAATGGAAGGATTAAAGCCTTTGAATCATCAGCTCTACGTTCATCTCAATATTTTTCGTTTCTTAACTTTCTATGACATTGAAGTCGGTTAGGTTTTGAAGGATTTAATACGCTAAACTATTGAGAAAGTATTTTAAAGGGAATATTTGGCATGGAAGCCAAATTACTATTACTATGTTTTAAAAAGTGATTTGACAGTATACAAAGTAAGTATATGAAAATAGTTCTATTTTAACTTGTGTAAAAGTGGTTTTAAAAAGTATTTTTGGTGAAAACCCAACATCCCATGAAAAGCGACCAATCATCATTTCAAACAATGAGCTTGGCTAAAAATGTGTTCGAGGTGCCTGCATTGTAAGTACATGGAATTTTGTCCTGCCCTCGCCGCATTTCACGAGTTAAACCGTTATTTTTGTTAATGGGTTGGGTTAAGGTGGTGTCGAGAATTTCTTGGCGGAAGTTGCTTCAATCTTGTACTGTTGATGCCTTCTCACTAACTTGAAATTCTTGTTGAACGAATTGAAAAATATTCTCTTCGGTTTAAAATCTAAGTTAAATTTTATATATTTATGTTTATCAAGAAACTAGTTAAAATCAATTTAAAACAATAAATATGTAATAAATATGAGATAAAAAAATAAATATATGGAAGACCTACTTTGCCTTGGAATCCATAAACCTGAGACGTTGAAACTCGGGACTTGGGAGTATCGTGATCCGAAGTAGGCGGAAGTGAAGCATATTAACAGTACTAATAACAGATTATGTGCTGATCATTGAGCTAATTAAAGGTTAAGCTTATCTTAAGCTTTTGTGGTGAATATGTGGGCCAGCAATAATTTTTTTTCAGCCAAACACAAAATAGTATTCACAATAAAATTACTTACAAGTTAAAAATACTACCTCCGTTTTTTTTTGGTAAACAAACGGGCCCAAAGCCCAAAGCAACCTCAAAAACACATCCTACGGAACCTAACCTTCACCAACACGTTCAGATTCACTTTCACTTCCAACTTCATATGCTTCCATTTCTAACGTCATCCTCAAAGTTAACCGCGGCGTGTCCCAGATCTAAAAATCTCTCTCCATTCGAAGGCCCATTTTTGCCAGATTATCTGCACAACTATTCATCTTTGTTGGAATCACTGTGGTCTTCAACTCCCATCTCCTATCAATCATCTCCCAAGCTTTCCTTTTCAAACCACTCTGAAAGCCATCTTCCAAGCTCTTGCCTTCGCCCATTTTACTATAATCTCTGAGTCAGATTCCACTTCCACCTTTCTAAACCCCATATTCCAAGCCAAGTTCAGTCCTTCCACCAGCCCCCATAACTCTGCATTTTTCACGCTGCAGATTCCAATTTTTTTAGAATAACCACTAGTCCATTTTCCATCACTATTTCTGATTAGCCCCCCACAGGCCGCTACTCCAGGGTCCCCAAGACAGGAAAGATCAGAGTTAAGTTTTACCCAATCTCTGTTAGGTTTGCACCATTTCACAGTCTTACCGGCACATTCATTCTTTCGCATGTTATCTTTGGTTTTTGCCTGCATACACTCAACAGCTAGAGCCCAACTCTTCATGATCAATTCGCTCGGGTCCTTTGTCTTCCTGTTGAAAATCTTGTCGTTCCTACTTCTCCACAGATTCCAACATGTGACACCAAAGGTCACTGCCCACGGTATGCCTTTAACCCTTCTCTTATCAGTAAGGTTAATTTCAAGCCATCTTGAGAGTACGTCTATGTAAAAAGATTGCTGGACTGTTTTGCATGTGTTGTTCCATACCTCTTTCGCCTGGATGCAGTCCCTAAGCACATGTATTGTAGTTTCGAGTCTTCCACACTCTTCACAACTTCCACTAACACCCCATCTACTGAATACGAGAGTCTTGGTGTGCAATCTGTCCTGAGTTGCTAGGGGTGGAAACAGGCCAGACGGCCTGTCAGGGGCTTATGGCCTGGCTTGCATTTGGCCTGCCCTGTTTCCCAAAAAAGATAGGCTCAGGCCTGTTTGAAGGCCTGTTTAGTTAAACAGGCCAGGCTTAGGCTTTTTAAAAAGCTTGTTAAGCCTATTAGGCCAGCCTGGGCCTGTTAGGGATTTATAATCATAATATATGAAAAAAATTAATTAATGCTATTATTGTTAATGTGCTCTTTTAATTTATTTTTTAATTTTAATATATAGTTAATAGCTTAATCTTTTCTTAGATTTTGAAGTTTAGATGACAAGTGAAGATAAAAATATAATTTAAAATAATAATATCAACAAATAATGTGATTTTTAAATCTTAAAAATATAAAGAAAATAGGAAAGAAAAATTTTGTTCCAAGAATGATAAATTAACTAACTTACGTATTATGTTAATTTAAGTATGATACCCTCTTTATTCATTATAAATTAGTGTTTTTTCCTCTTTATTTATTTGTCTTAATTTTAATTTTTTGTGTGTACTTAAACATAGTCTTATTCCAAATTTTAACATATAATTACAATTAGTTTTCAATAATATTCTTATAAATTATAATTAAGATTTAAAATAGTACTTATGATACTAAAATTTAAATAAAAGACAAGACTAAAAATTTAATTATTATGTACGTTTTTTTAATTTTAGCTTTTTTAAAAAAAATAATTATTATAATTTGAATTTTTTTAAAATACAGGCCTTTTAACAGGCCAGGCCAAGCCTTTATACAGGCCAGGCTCAGGCTGAAAAATAAGCCTGTAACAAGCCACAAGCCAGGCTCAGGCCAATAGGCTCCAAAACAGGCCTGGCCTGTTAAGAGCAAAGCCTGGCCTGGCCTGTTTCCACCTTATGAGCTGCTACCTCTGTTTTTTAATATAAAAGTTGCTTGATTAATTTGAATGGATTAAAAAAAATTAGTTAGACTAGTTATTTATAATAAATCTGTATTGATCTTTCTAAAATATCTTTTTTAATCAAGTATATTGACTAGAATTATCATTATTACAATGATAACCTTAAAAAAAGATAAATATGAAAGATAAAATAAATTGAGATCTTATACTTACTATCAAAATAAAAATCAAGCCATCTTTTATATTACGAAGCAGAAATAGTACTTAATAATTCTATTTCAGGAAAATTAAAATTAAAGGGCGGCAAGAATTATGACATAGAGACTCTAGGGAGGCTTTTTAGACAGGGTGGAGTCCCGGTCAATTGGGGAAGCGAGGAGGAGTGTGGGTGGATGGCCTTTGCATGCGGGTCTAAAAGGCCTCTTTGAATTACCCAAAAATTAAAAAAATAAAACTATTATACAATAATTCTATCTCTCATTCTTAATATGAGATTAATTTAAATAAATTAAAAAATTAGTTAAATTAGTTATTTATAATAAATAAACGCTGTATTTCTTAAAATATTAATAAATAGATGTTGTCTTTTTAAAAATATCATTATTAATTATGTGTCATTTGATGAAACATTTAATATATGTAATTTTCTTGGGTTCTTAATTTAAAAGTTAATTTAAATTTTAATTTGATTCTAAATATAAAATATTAATATATTTTATTTCTTATATTTATCTATTTTATTCAAGATGTAACAAATATTTAACGGATGCAATTCTTTTTCACATATGCGCAAAAAGAGTTGTACTCACTAAAAATACATTGTACCCCGAGCTTTTGTGCAGTAAATTTTATAATGCGGAATTTTTTAAACAATTTCCCCTGTATTTTCATAACATCTAAAATTTTTAGGTTTTTTCACATACGGCGTAAATGACTTTTGAAGTCGTTCACGCATGAAAGATTTTACATTTTCCTAGCGTGCAAAAAAAAAAGAATTTCTGACACTTTGTTAATTTTGTGCAAGAATAAGAATTTTTGACAATTTTTCCTACTCACTCATCCATCATATTATCGTTAAATATTTAAAAACTCCATGCAGAAGCAAACTGGTTCCTTTTTTTTTTTTTTTTCACCCACCTGGTTAATTTGAACATGCCACATCGGAAAAGGAAATTATATAAATCCTGAGTCCCAAATATAATTAATAATTGTTTCTAAAAATACACCTTGGAAGTAAAATTAATATTTTCTAGCTAGATAGCTGGGGTTAAAATATTGTGATCTTAAATACAGGATAACGGTGGAAAAGAAAAATAATTTCTATATAATTCATATATTTTGGTACCCCTTAACCTATGTATTTTATTAATATTAGAATTTTTTTTTTGCCATGTGAGGGATGGAGGAATTACTTGGTATTGAACATGCCACGTCGGAAAAAAAGAAAAAACAAAATTACCCTCCTCTGTCTTATATAGATCCTAAGTCCCAAATATAATTAATAATTGTTTCTAAAATACACCTTGGAAGTAAAATTAATATTTTCTAGCTAGATAGATAGCTGGGGTTTTAAAATATTGTGATCCTAAATACAGGATAAAGGTGTAAAAAAAATTAATTTTTAGATAATTCATATATTTTGGTACCTCGTTAACCTATGTATTTTATTAATATTAGAATTTTTTTTTTTGCCATGTTGAGGGATGGAAGAATTACTAGGTGGGTAAAAAAAAAAAAAAAAAGGAACCAGTTTGCTTCTGCGTGGAGTTTTTAAATATTTAACGATGATATGATAGATGAATAAATAGGAAAATTGTTAGAGATTCTTATTCTTACACAAACTGGCATAGTGTCGAAACTCTTTTTTTTGTACGCATGGGTGAATAGGAAAAAATGAAATTGTTCACGTGAAGAACGATTTTAAAAGTCATTTATGTCAAGAACGACTTGTGTATAATTTGAAAGTTATTCACATAAAAAACAATTTTAAGTGCAGCATATTAGTAAATAATTTTACTGTTTATAGTATTTTAGTAAAAAAGCCAAATTTTTACTTAGAAGCTTTAGATATATTCAGATTTTTTTAAAAACAAATTTGTCTAAAAAATTAAAAGTTGTAGCAATATTTTTTTGTGGTTGAAAATATTGACGATCAACATTTCGATTTTAACAGCTAATGTTAGTTTTTTGATAATAAAAACTAATTTTATTAAGATTTTAAATTGTGAGACAATTTTTTTTAAAAAAAGTTTTATCTGCTGTAAATCAAATCAACTTCATAATGATATTCAACATGCGTGCGCGCGTGTTTTGTTTTCGATTTTGAGAAAAAGTACCAAAGTTTGACTATGTGTTTGGATTCACGTTTTCAACGGAAAATGTGCATCAGAAACGTACGTTTTTTGCAGGTGGAGGTTTCAACACTTGTGTGGCTTAGCTTTTTTCTAAATGAGTTTTTTGGGTAAAATCCATTGAAGCTAATTCATGGAGCTTTTGTAAGGTACCGACGTGCCGAGGAGAGAGAAAAGATAAGAATGAGAATAGGATGATATTATCTATCTTTAATGTATTTAATTTAAAAATATTAAAAAAATTAGTTAAATTAATTATTTGTAATAAATTAATATTATCTTGTCTAAAATATTATTATTAATCATATATATTAAACTTACCCATTAAAGATAAATAAAATCATTTGAAAATAAAATATTACAAACAAAATAGATCAGGACCTTTATATTACCTATTTTTATAATTTTAATTTTAATTTTTTTTAGAATTATCACATTATATACATAATTATTTAACAAAACATATATATCTTTTTCAATCATTTTACATCTATACTTACTTTTTTATTATCTATCTAAATAAATTTTAACTTTTTAAACCGAATTCATATAAATATCAATCTAAATATAAATCATATTATACAGATTTTTATTCTAATTTAAATTTATAAAAATCAGTTAAAATAAAAAATTATTTTTATTACTGCTAATCTAAATACACCGTGCTCTGAGACTCGGTGATGTGTCTGTACCTCTCACACGTGAATGAGTGGACGGTGTGGCGCGGGACTGTGGGCACTGACCCTCTGTTTTGGCCCGTTGATGCCCAGTGGCCAGTTGCCGACCTTTTCTTTATTTTCCAAATTGCATATGCAACCTTTTGTCCTCGTGGTCCTTCTAAAATGTTCAATGAAAACTATAATCTTGTTCTCCCCTTTTTATCAATACATCAAATATATTTTCCATTTTTTTATCCAAAAAAAATGATTTATATGAACACATCTCCAAGTTTTAATTAAGAGTTAATATCCCTTTTAGTTCCTAAAATTTAATCTCATTTTAATTTTAATCTTCTAAATTTGAAATCATTGATTTTAATTCTTAAAATTTTAAACCAATACTGTTGGTCTTTAAAATTTGACTTTATTTTGATCTAATTTAATATTTTTGATATTTGAAACAAGGATCAAAACTAAATTAAGGTTAAATTTAAGAGGCCAAAATCATTGGTCTCGTATTTTAGATATCAAAACTAAAACAAGATCAAATTTTAAGAACTAAAGATGATTTTGACCCTTTAATTAACATTATGATCATTACTATGTTTTAAATCGGTGTGCAGCATAAACAGTACTCCCTCTAGGCGTATATATCAGATATAAATAACTAAAACAAATACATAGATGGAATAATTAATTAATAAGTTAAAGATAATGAATATGTAGAAAATACATTTTGTTTTTTAAAATACGCTTAGATAAAAAAAAAAAAGTGGGAAAAGGAGCAACTGATATAATTATATAATAGTATGTAATTGATGGAGACAAAATAAAAAAAACATATTAATATTTGTTGTCATTATTTAAGTATATATCTTATAAATAAGATCCAAGATCATTCCCCAAAATTATATATATATATATATATATATATATATCATAAATAGAACTGATGAAGGGAGTAATAGTTATACCAATCTGTGTCACCCAGAACATAAATCCAATATACTATTTTTTTAGGCCAAGTTCAACATGCCACTTATACCTTATATATAGTGAGTTTTCTTTATAAAATTTATGTGATATATAAATTATTTTAATTATTATTCCCCTTAATCATCATTATTTATTAAAATGCGGGCGTGCATTTTTTCCCAAAAAAAAACCCTAAATGTCTTGATCTGTGATGGAAGAGGGAAGCTGCTGATTAGATGATAATGGCGCCAAATGAAACTGCCTGTTACTCTGCAAAATGGGGTTTGAAATGCCCATCCAATCCGTGATGCCCCGCTTTTTTTTTTTTTTTTAATATATATATATCTGTTCTGATATAAATAAAATAAAATAAAATAAATCTTGCAAGGTGTACTTGTGGAGCAACAGTAGCTGTAAAATCCTTTTTGTACGAAAATTTGTTATGATTTTAAAATAAAATTGTTAAGAAATTTTTATTAGAAAAAATTCTAAAAAAATACCTTTAAAATTTTAAATTTTAAATCAGTTTTGTTCACTATACTTTAATTGCAATTGACAGAATTTGAAAAATAAAAGACAATATTTTTTATTTAAAATTTTAAAATTCTAGACATATTTTTTTATATTTTTTTAATTAAGATACACTCCACGGATTCTTAATGTAAAATCTATGTCTAATCTAAACTGAAAAATAAGTTTTATGTTAACAGTGAAAGGAGGAGTATTTATTGGTATCAACAGGAAATCTATCTAGTCTTGTTGGACAATGAATTAAATTATATATAATTTAGAATGTAGAAATAAAAAAATAAAAAAATAATTATTTCTTCGATTTTAAATTTTGAAGTTAGTCAAGAAATTAATTTTAATCATAAATATAAGATATTAATTAATTTTTTAATTTTTATTATTTTTTAAAATTCATTTAGTTTATAAACTCATATAAAATCTAATTTTATATAGAAAAACTTTAATAGATTAAGTTACATGCATTTAAATTAAATATTTTATCTATTTTTTAAATTTATTTTAATTAAATTAATTAAATAGCCAGAATATTTATTTATGAGTGACCAAATGTTACATAATCTCTCTAAAATACTTTTATATATTATCATACTATATATCTATCTATAAACAAGACAAATTAGTTAAGAGAAAACCAATAGATATAAATATTTTAAGATGGTTTAGTCACTTTTTTAATGACCTGAAATTAATTTTTATAGTAAGAATTAGAGTTAATATTAAATATTAATGTTTCAAAAAATAAAACATATAATCCTCGGAAAACTTGAAGGCTATAAGTATCTTGATATAAAATATTTTTTAGTATAAAATACTAGCAAGCTGGGACAGCGAGGAATATAAATACGAGTAGGGAAATAGAGGCGTGGATTGTCGTCGCTGTCCGTTACAAAGCAAAACGTCAGCCAACGAAAAATTCCTTTAAATTTGGCCAAAGCGCCTACCCTTCTCAGCTCTATACCATCCAATTCTCCTGAAAGCGAACCCCGATTTCTGCGTATCACTCTCCTACGGATTCTCCTCCCCAGTCTCCACGTTTCCGCCGAATTCCCCTCCCATAGATCTTCCTTCGCTTCATTTTGAACTCGCTCTTTATCTGCTCTCTCACTGCAGGTTGTTCCGAATCTACTGGTATGTATTATTAATATCTACTTCTGAGCTTCCCTTCCTGTTTTTGTCTCTGGATTGTTCGAATCTATTGCTGTGTATGTATTGTGAATACTGCTGCACAAGTTTCCCTTCCTTGTTTTGTATTTGATGCCTCCAGCTATATATTGCTCGATTGGGCATGAGAACGGAAGGTAAGGATAATATTTGTTCTGTTTTCTAAAAGAATGTAGTAGTAGCTGTAAGGAAGCATTTCGAATAGAAGTTATTGTTCAGGTGAATCTTGAAGTATTACTGAATGAGAACATACATACATAGATTGGCTTTGATACAATTTCACCTCATGTTGCTTATGGTCTCGTTAATTGGATTCTCTAAGCGTCCGCCTATAGGTGTATTGAGGTATTTGTTAGCATCACTGAAACTCTCGGGAAAAAGGAGTTACTGCGGGCAAATTGGACTCTAGAGTTTTTAATGCTCATAATATTGCTGCTGCTTTTTCTTTCTTTCTAAAGAATGACGTGCTATCTGTCTCCTTTTCATTTGGCTTTATTAGGGGCATAGAGAGAGAGAGAGAGAGAGAGAGAGAGAGAGCTTTTGCTTAATTCGTGACCATATCAATTCTATGTTGATCTTTTGGGAGAAGGGCTGGTCTGGAAAGAAAATATCCTGATGTCAATCATAGCAATTACTTGCCATTGTATTTCAGATACCATAAATCATTTGCGATATCACCATGATCGGACTGATATTCCTTTTTCTTAATTTTTTTTAATTTCTCCCTTGAAGCCTAAATGCATGAGGTCCTACACGGTGGGATTTGCGGCTGTATTATTTAAAATGGTAAAATTTTTAAGAACCTCCTACTAGGTTGCTGAAAAATTCTGTCTGTATTTTGATTACTCGAAGAGTCTTTGTTAAATCAGTCGAAGTCTTGAGTTTTCTTCCTATACTTTTACTTAAAGAATTCAGCCAAAATTTTAGTTAGTTTTCAGTTAGATCTCTCATGTTGGTTACCTCAGTATTTCTGTGTGACTGCTCGCTATTTCATATGGATAACTCTGATGTTTCTATTGGTTTTGAGGATAGTTCCTCGCTGCTTATGTGATTCGGGATTCAAAATTTATTGAATGCACACTTGATTTGGGTATTTTGTAAATATATGAATCATGCATTCTATGATATGATTTTTTAATGATAAATTGGCTGCTTGCTAGTTGATTTAAATTGCTTTGATATTGTTCAACAATATGCAAATGATCTTGTTAGTTTGATAGTTTGGCTGCTCGGTGCATTCCATGAGATTGTTCAATAAGTCTTCTTCCGTTTATATGTAAAAATTTGGTGGTGTTAGTGTTGACAACAGGTTTCTTATTACAGGAGAAAAGCATGGCTAGTTCTGGAGGGGAACTTGAAATAAGTTTTGGCTATCAATGCAATAGTAATAGAGCTTCCTCTTCTAATTTAATCGATAGCTATAAAATCCTGCCTTCACTACGTAAAACAAGCAGCTTCTCTTGCTTATCTGGTGCAGCCTTAAGTGCCAATGCTACATTAGCCAACACTAGCATATGCGATGGTGTCATAGGAGGAGAAATTCTTCCAAGCTGGGACTCTCCTAATATGTTTCGTAAGGTAGCCTCTTCTTCAAACCTTTCAAGGTTGGACATGTTGTCATCCTCTCTCCAAAGCACTTTGTCAAATTTAAGTTGCAGTCCGTCCACCTCGAGCAATATGCTTGAACATGACTCTTGCACAGTAAAATCCACGATTGCTCCTTCCAGAAGTGAAGGTTTTCTTAATGCTATGGAAGTACAAGTAGCAGGAGGAGCTGCTGGTGAAGACAGAGTTCAAGCAGTTTGTTCCGAAGAGAATGGGTGGCTTTTTTGTGCTATTTATGATGGCTTTAATGGGAGAGATGCAGCTGACTTTCTGGCCGGTACCCTGTTTGATACCATTTCATCTTATTTTAGCAAGTTATATTCAGAATTGGAGACAGATTCTATCAGTACTTCTAACAACATGGGTTTGGATGGATCAGTCCAACATAAGTTGGATGATAGCCTTCATAATTGTGACGAAAAATCATTTTCAGATGGGGTACTTGATTGCCTACAGCGTGCTCTTAGGCAGGTTGAGAATGATTTCCTACACATGGTTGACCAAGAAATGGAGGATCGCCCAGACTTGGTTTCGATTGGATCTTGTGTTTTACTTGTGCTTCTTCATGGGAATGAATTGTATACACTTAATCTTGGTGACAGCAGAGCAGTGTTGGCAACAAGCGATTGTGAATCAAATGGGGATGGAAAACTCAAAGCTATCCAGCTTACAGATAGTCACACTGTTGAAAATGAAGCCGAAAGAGCTCAGCTTCTGGCTGATCATCCTGATGATCCTATGACCATTGTATCAGGAAGAGTGAAAGGGAAACTGAAGGTTACCCGCGCAATTGGAGTTGGCTACTTGAAAAAGGTTAAAATTCCATCTCTTTATATTTGAACCAGATGTTTCCGAAAGTTTTTAATAGGGATTATTCACAAGAATGTCTTCATATATGTATATAACTATAATTATTTAGAAGCTGCCAGCGGCAACAAAGAGTGAATGATTTAGTCATCTATTGTTCTGGATTTTACTTATGATCAACCCCTTCATTGCAATTATAAATATCTTACCCCACCAAGCAATTATTTTTTCTTATTTTTTATTGGCATGCAGAAAAGTCTGAATGATGCATTGATGGGGATCCTTCGGGTTCGTAATCTTGTAAGCCCTCCATATATTTCTGCTGAACCATCGTTAGGTGTGCATAAGATCTCAAGTTCTGATCATTTCGTCATAGTGGGGAGTGATGGTTTATTTGATTTCTTCAACAATGACGAAGCAGTGGAGCTTGTAGAGTCTTATATCCAGAGCAACCCTTCTGGTGATCCAGCAAAGTTTCTTGTCGAGCAGCTTCTATCAAAAGCAGCTGATTGTGCAGGTAAATTTTGAAAATCCCAACAACCCATGCTAATTTCTATATTACCCCCAAGAAACAAGTTTTCTCTAGGCACAATTCTGGTCCACAACGTCCGAGCTCAAACTATTCATTCGATCATGAAATACAAGTTTGTCGAGGCCTTCTGGCCTAATGACACTAAGCACCTCTTTTCAAGTTTTTCTTAAATGTGAGGTTGCAAATTATAAATAATGCAATTATTTCGTCAAATTTTGTTTAATGTACGAGAGAACCGGTGCAAACGTTGTCTACGTCGTTCTTGTGATTTCATTTGATCAGTTTACAAAGTGATGTTGGTGCAGGTTTCAGCATGGAAGAGTTGATGAATGTTCCGGCGGGAAGGAGGAGGAAGTACCATGACGATGTAACCGTAATTGTGATCATCCTTGGCACTAATCAGCGGACTTTAAAGGCATCAACTTGTATATGAGTTTCTCTATTATTTAAGTGTGAAATGAATGTACTTGATGAAGCATGCCCCAGGTTTGATGTGTATAAAATAGAGACGTCTTAGTCAGCATTACCCAACACTAAATATTTAACGGAAAAAAAAAAAAGCATGCTTTGATAAATATTTTTTTAATAATTAAATATAATAGAAATCCTTCCGTGTAGTCGTATTATCATGGCTGAGATAAATGGCTGCGTCTTTTAATGAAAAATGGTTACGTAAGTTTGATTAGATGCTTGGTGATGGGGCCGAAAGCGACGTCTCCATGTCTCTTAGCGAGGAGCTAAAGCCACAGCATCTTTTGCTCCTCCGTTAAGCCTCTGTCTTGTCGCTTGCGAACCCAGCCATGCATATGACGTTATTTTTTTAATAAAAAATTACTTTTTCATAAATAAATCACGAGACTTCAGTCCTTTATTTGGGACCACGAATAATTTTCTCAATTTTATTTTCAAAAGTTCTTCATCGTCTGATTCCAAGAACCTGTTGAATCTTAATTTAAATCATGTCTGGTGACCTCTGCAAAAACATGGCCCATACGAATTCACAAACACATGGGGTTCTCTTTAATTTGTTGTCCCCATTCATAAAATTTAAATTCAACTTTTTATTTACAACAAATCAGTTTCTTGTTACTCAAATAAAGAAATGTTGGTAAAAAAAAAAAACGATTTCTAACTATTTAGGAACAAAACAGAAAACCTAACCAAAAGAAAAAGGGGGAAACAAATGGGAAGTGGCCACCTAATCTTACAAAATGTATGATTTTTGTTCTTGCGAAATCCACATGATTGCTTGCAGTATGCAGAATGCAGACACAATATTATATGTGTGCGTGTGTAGTCAAACGCCTAATAGACGTCAGAGAGATCATTCACTATCTACGAATTTGAAGACAAAAGTGACATATAGTGGATTTTTCAATGCAATCCAGATCTTCGGCATCACCATCCTTTTTATAATTAGTTAAACAGTTTGGTCACTATAGTACATTTTCCCCAAAAACATTTTTAGTTTTAGGGAAGACCGAAACAAAGATAGGAATGCTCAAGTCATATGAAATGTAAAAACCTATAGTTTAGCCATTTAAAATATTAATCCCAAAGTTTAACCTTAGTCCTTATAATATTGTGTTCTACATTGTAAGGATCAAAATTTTAAATGGTTCAAAGGGATCAGTTGCACCGAATCAAAATTCATAAATGTAATTTTAACCAAGTCAAAATTGTGAGGATTAAATTGTAGCTAGTTAAAGTTTAGAAGCTAAGCTATAATCATGTCAAAACTATAACCGCCAAATGATTAATTCCCTCACATATATTCATGGTACATTCGAATACATCGGTGGAAGTCCCATCTCAACACTCTGTCTCTGTCTCTGTTTCTCTCTTCACTATTTCCTACCCAACAATCTCAAGAATGATTTCATCCACCATGAAAGCCTCAATCAGTGAACTGTGATTATACTGATTAACCCCGACAACAATCAATCCCCAACACTTACCACTGACTGTCACTGTCAAACTCGTTTTATGTGGGCCACCACAGCCCCATTGATTCTCAACATTTACCCCAATAAAGGTCAACATCTCACAGTTATGTTGCCACCCACTCTTAATAATAAGATTACCACCTAATCCACCATCCACCAAATTTGGTAACAAATCACCATGAAGAAATAATTACTCAAAATGCAAGAAAACAAAAAGAAAATGCATATCATGGAAAGGAAGAAGAATAATAGTCGAAGTGTTCTCACCTTTGTCATAATCAAAAATCAAGCAGAAGCTGGTTCTCTCTCAGAAGATTCATGTTTTAAGAAGAATAATAGTCGAAGTGTTTCAGCATCTTATTTCAATAGTATTCTAATATCATCAGACAAGCATAAATACTAACATACAAACTAATACAGTAGCCTGACTAATATGTGTTTTCACATTAATATATCACTCCAAAGGAGCAGGTAAAAAGGGCAAAACTAGCGGTTACATGAGTTTTAAAGCATGCATTTTTCTTGAATGGCGATTATCTAATCTAAATATACTTTTCTCACTCGCAAAGCTGGAATGTATTGAATAATTATCAAGGGTAGTGATCTACTTATAAAACACAACAGAGATGATAAATCATATGAAACACCAGCATCTAGTTCAATCTTTCTCTCTCATTTCTGTAGATTAGTTATCTAATCAGTAATCACATTATCTAGGACAAACTGGATGCATAATTTTATTCCTCAGAACCATCAGTCTTCCATGCAAAAGTATGACATCAAAATGAAATTCAGCGGGTTATTGATTCAAGTTTGTCCAGATAAGTTACCTAGCAAGAGGAAAGAATTTTGTGCAAACTGGAAATAAGGCATAAGATTTGAATAAAACATTACCCGCTTTCTGAAATTCGCATTAAAATATATTTCATAGACAACCAAATTTCATCCACTATACTATATAACTGTGTGCTTAATGAAGGTAGAACTTAGTAAACCTCAGACCTTAACCTTTCTAAACATATTCATCACATTTTGCTGGTTTCATGAATCTCCATATTTCTATACTCAGAATAATCACATGACGATGGGGTGGCAAATGACTCTAGGGAATGAATAATCACCAATTAAAAAGACATAATGCACACTCATCACCAGCAAAAATGCATTTTTTCTTGCTACATTACTGGGTTCCGTAGACTTGTAATTATGGCAAACATACATAAAAACAGAAAACCACAAAAGATTTAAAGTACAAGCAAAACCTTCAATAATTTTTAGGTTAGCCCAAGGAAAAATCACAAGCACGGTTCTCAAAAGTCCAAACCCTACTTCCATATCCATATGAAAGAATTCTAGGACCTAGCATGGGCATAATAAGCAGATCAATTTTTAACCCCAAACCTTGCCATATCCATGATCTCTTTTGAGGCAAATCCACCAGATAAGATACAGACGAGATACAGGGGAGCTACAACTTTGATAGAATTGGTTCGCTATTTCATATATCTTCTACAAAGATAGTTCAAAACGAATAGTACCAGGAAATGCCTCGAAACCTACGTATTATTACCAATAAAAGCTCTATGATTTAATCTAGAATCTATAGTAGATAAATTAGGTAAAGAAGGAATGAAGAAGTAAAAGCAACCAAAATTATAATTACATTGAAGAGAGATGTCAGGTCACAGAGCCAAATTGAGTTCTTGAAGTCTCGTTTGAATTCTCTGCAGTGTGCCATCAATTGAGACATCAAAAGCATCTTTCTTAGTTCTGAGACCAGGTGAACTATTATGCCTCCTGTACATAACTCTGGGAATCATCTCCAAAACCTTCTCCCTCATCCTTCTAACTCTGCCTCTAGAAATGCCTCGCAACACATCGAAAATCCTCACCCCTTTGAACACCACATCCTCCTTCGGTATAAACACCGAGAAGCTCTCGAATTCGTTCTCTGGCAAATGCCAGTCGTACTGCGATTTCGCCGATTGATCCTCGAAAAATACCGGGATACATCCAGCTAGAAATCCATCAAACGTCGACCTACGAGTCGGAGTATCCCCAGGAGGTTGCAGGCAGAAACTTGCTTGCAACATTGGCCTCATGTACTTTATAGGATCATGCTCACAAATTCCATTAGAGCAATCAACAAGGTCACAGAGTTTCGTATAGCCACCATATAAGGTTGAGTTTGCAGTGTTATTCTCGCACTCATTCCTAATGCTTCGCCGGATATTAGGCGTGGCGGAGACCCCTCCGCCTCCGGCAAACATCGCCAAAGCGGTGCGTTTCGAACGCCTCGCCCTCTGAATCCAAGACTCCAACAGCTCGAGATTTGGCGGATGAAACGACGTCGGATAAGGGACCCCGTGTTCTTGCCACGGCCAAGCACGAGACTCCAATGTCAAAGCCGTTACATTGTAAAACTGCGGCAACTCCAGAAACGAAGTCCCCCATATGGGTGGATCATTCTCCAAGGGCTGCGAGAAATCCCACGCCGGCCGAGCCATCACCAGGAAATGGTCGTGACCCATGTGCCGATTCCAGATTCCGGGCTCGTCCTCTTGCAGAAACTCGAACAATTCGAGTCCGTGCTCGGCGCTAGAGTTAACCTCCGGACCGTAGAGATAACGCAAAGCGTCGAGGCTAGCATAGTAGGGAAGGTAAACCGCGTTAGCAGAAAATGGATCTTCTGTGAGACATGGATATTCCAGCATACGGCGGTGGAATATGAGTTCAAGCATCAACGGGTCGGTGCGATACCAACTATAAGAGCGGTTATGGGTTTTCTGGCCAAGGCCATGATTGGCCAAGTAAGGGCAAAAGTTGTCAAAAAGCGGGTATTCGGAGCAATTCATGAGCAGATCGAGGTTGAAGCGCGGTGGGAGGCTCCGGAGGTAGATCCAACGGTTGTCGCAGCTGTCTTCGTCGGATTCATCCCTGGAAGTAGCTTGAGAGAAAGTCAAGCAGAAGAAGAAGGAGAATAACAAGAGGGTGATAAAAACAAGGCTGGGCAAGCAGGAAGCCATGGGAGAAATGTGGATTTTTACAGAAATGAAGAAGAGAAGATGCTATATGGGAGTAGCAATGCAAACAAATTGGAAGCTTTTTGATTTTTGATTCACCATGATGGTGAATTCTGGGTTTAATCTCCTTCCTGTCCCTACTCTCTTTCAGAAGCAGAGGAAAAATTTACAACAAGGCTGTTACTTTCTTACCATGGAAGGAGTGATATAGTGCTTGTCGTTGTCCTTTTAGTTTTGGTCGTAATTGTGAACAGTGAGCATATATTGCAATCAGAAAAAAAATACATTTTCTTGAAAAAATTAAGAGCAGAGAGAGGGGGGGCGTGAGGGAGTTTAGCGGCGGAGAGGGTTTTGAGGTTTGACGTGGCAGAGTTTGACCGGGTAGTTGTCGGTGGTGGAAACACCGGCTCAGGACATGTCACAACAGAACGCTCTGCACTGCCACCAGATGCGGCGTCGTCTTGACACCAAACTCATGGCCCGTTTGAGGGAAACCTGGAAATGGATTTGATTACCATGCAAAAAATTTGAGGAATGGACATTGGACATTATCATTTATAATTTGTGAAATAAAATATTTTATTATAGAATTATAATTGCAGTAAA